GTGCTTGCGAATATATTTCTGGTACTCGTCCGAAGACCAGCGACCCGCTGCCTGAATCAGCGCAGGGGCAACGCCGTTCGCGGCAAGAGCAGTAGCACCTCCAGCACGCATGGAGTGCCCAGAAATACTCGGCGGGAAGAAACGCCTTAGATAGCGCATGAACCACGCGCGTGTGGGAATTGTTCCAGCTGCAGTGAGCCAGAGTTGTGGATGGTGAGGGAACTTGTTGTCGCGAGCAGATACGTACTGATGAAAAAACTTCAAAGGGTCTACTTTGGCGTGAGGTTCGGCCAAAAGCAAGATCTCACATCCCACGCCCAACGAACTGGTTTTGTGATGTGGTAGGGTGTAGCTTGCTGAGTCGTTTGTTAATGTGAGTGAGTGCCGAAGTGGCACCTTCCGATAGGACTGGTGTTTTTTCGCGTTGGGCCAGCACAATTCGGCCAAGCGTTGCAACATTTTGAACCCTGTAATGAGTAGGGCGAGGAATAAGATGTCGTTATAGTCGACGGACGAGGCAAAGGTGTCAGCCACGAGTTTGAGATCATCGAGACTGAGTGGTAGTTTGCGCTGGACAGGTTTGGACAAGCGCCGTTTGCATCCTTTGAGCGTGCGCGTGACGAGCAAAGAAGTGCGTGCTTCTCGCACTCCAGCGAAGTGAGTTTCGAGGCGATTGACGATGCCTGACAAATAAGAATCGACCGAACGGGGTTCAATATGGTGAGAGAGCCAGACCACATAATAAGACAGAGTGTCCTCTGTTGGTTGGACTGGTAAGTTGTGGAGTCGACAGAAATTGAGATAGGAATTCAAATGTGAATCATAAGCGGACGCCGTAGTTGATTCGATAGCGTAACCAAGGGCTAATGAACGCTCGAATTGCAAGCGTTCAAGTGTCCATGCTTCCCGTACGGGTTGCCTGGACTGGGTAGCGCACGGGATCATTTTTTGATTTCCCCCAACGCATCCCGAGGGGGTTCAAAGTCGAAGATTAGAGCCGTAGGCACAAGATCTTTGACAAGCTCGTTATGAAAACGTGACAACGCATCCGCTATCACATTTTGTTGACCAGGGATGTGTTCCACGCGCAAGTCGACATGATAAGCGATCAAAATATCCATAGCCGAGCGCAGTACTGAATTGTAGGCCGGTTTTGCGCGGAGCGAGTCGAACATAGCAACAGTATTCATGTTGTCAGTGTATATGAGCAGCTGCGCTGGAGTCTCGTCCATGTTCACAACAGCGTGTATAGCGGAGCAAACGGCGAGTGCCTCAAAGAAGAAGATTGTGTCGTGATGGGTGTCTGTGGGCAAGGAACATTGACAGGCGAAATTATCGTCCGGGAACCACAGTCCCATGCCAACACTAGAAGCGTCAGTATAGGCAACAACAACCTCGTCACTCCTCGGATCAAAATCTATGCACTTGAAGAGGTGCAGTCCGTCAGATCGTTCAATATGATCTGCGAGCCAATGTAGTTCGTCGAGCAGAGCGTTGTTGACGTGGATGAGTGCGAGGGCGTTGCTCTTTCCCCTAATTTTGTCGTATAAAACCGACAAACCGGGTTTCAAGAGCGGGAAAACATTGAAACTCCATTCGCACCATCCTGCGAGTCGTTGGAATTCCCGAAGTGACCACCGATTATTCTTGCGTGCGAAACGGCGCAGTTCTGCAACCAATTCGTCCTTCTTGTGGACTGGTAAAGAAACCTGCATGGCATTAGGGTCTACGTCGAATCCGATGACAGTTAAAGGTGTGCCGAACACCTGCTTGGGGCGCTCGTGTGGTAAACAAAGTTCGTCCCATAGTAGTAGTAGCCATGTTTGTTTCGCGGGAAACGAGCAGTCGTATGGAGGATAATACAGCAGACGATTTGCGACCTCAAAGGAGAATGAGTCGTCCATGTAAGTCTTGAGTGCGTCAATGAGGGTTTGGTGTATAGCAATCCAAGCTACGAGGGACATGAATGATATCCATACTTTGGGTGAACCTCTGCCACCAAAGTTGTTATTACGATCCACGTGCCGCTGACCATGGACCGTCAGAATTTGCTTAACCTGCCATAGCGGGTGCATTGGTAAGCGTCGGAAGGCTTGCGACACGTCCGATTTGAACATCACCAGCTGGACATTAGGGTGCTGTTCACGGAAACGTAGTAGCGAGGCCCCGAGTGAATGTAGCCCATCGAGCTTTGTACCTTTGATAGCGTCCCTGTCGATCATAGAGTTTAGGGAGTACTCGCCCGCAGTATGATCTACAATCAAGCGAAGTTTGTCAGAGTTTGGCTTGGGCACTGTGTGCATTGGCACGCTGTACATTCCAGGGTAAAGTTCCGTGCCGAAACTCTCTGAAACTCGCCCCAAGCGTATCTCTTCACACAATTGATCTTCAATGAATTGTTGCTGCTCATTAGACTTGGAGCAGGTACGTGCGGAGTTGTCGTTGGTGGAAGGATATGAATCGTCTGAGGTGTCAGCCCACGGCCAGAAACCCCGACGTAACGATTCGCAGACGGATTTGACGAAAGGTTGGTTTGGGTGGTCCGAGAGTAGTTCTTCGAAACGTTCAACGTTTATAGGGGTGACGATGCGAAACAAATCTGGTCTGCGAGCTATAGTTTGTGCAGCATCACTGCAGGTAACTTCGTTCAGCGGAGGCGATGGGACAGGTTCAGTGTACTCTGTCGAACGTGCAGTCGGACTGAATGAGGCATCCTTGGGTGACCAAATAAGGCCCCGTCTATGACGCGGGCGCTTAAACGGCTGTTCAATTGGGTTTGGGCTTTGACTCCTCGAAATGCTTCGTTTCCGTGTGACGCCTTGCACATAATCTGCCATCTTGCTCATGTGAACAGACGTGTGCATAGCGACAGGTTCCCGCGCTGCGAGCACATTCCCCGATGTTCCATTTTCGACATGGCTCACGGCGACTGAAGGCGGATTTTTCCCGTGGAGGTGCACTGGACTTGGTTTGCTTCTCGTCGTCGTGGTGCCTACCGTCTGACTGGAAATGGGACTCATAGATGTCAATGAAGGAAGCGAGGTCTGAGAGTTCGACTCTGCGCGAGTTTGCAGCTTTATTTCTGATAGCCTTGTCATACCTGATAATCCTCTCATGTGACCGTTCGAGTGTTCGGTCGAATCTGGTAGTAATATATTCTCCGTAGGAAGCGAGCTCATCCTCTCGATGAGGGAAAGCGAACTTGATAGCTCTGGCGGTCCTATTCCAGGCTGCGGACCATTGCATTGCAGTGGTGATCTTCTTCGTAACTGTCTCCGATGTTCCGGCATATTTGATTTCAATGTCACCGATTGTCTCGGTGCATTTGTCAATGGTGCGTGACGAGGAGATAATGGAATGCACGGCGTCGAGATTGACGCACTTGCCTGCGACGATTTCAGCCCATCCAGCTTCATGGAATTCCGGGCTGCATCGGTGATACATAAGTTGTCGTCGAACTTCTTTGGGGTCTTGCGACCAATTGAGAAGGATCTCGTTAGTTTTTGTGAGGTTTGCAGAGAGCTGTCCTCCTGCGCTTGATTGCTCGGCACGAACGAGACAGGTGAGGTTAAGTTTACCTCGTTTCCGAGCTGGTTCACCTCGCTCGAAACTGACTTCCCTCTCATGCTCAATCTCTCTAGGAGAGTTGGTTCCCCTATCTTCAGATCGTCGTCTGACGTCCGGTTCATATTCACGGGGAACTCTGGTGTCATCCTGCTGTTTGGTCCAGTCTTCGAGCATGGCGAAATATGGATTCGCGATAAAAGACTCGGCCTCGTCTGTAGCTTCTTGGGTGGAGGCAGTGATAGTCTTTGTGATAGTGATAATTGCCTCGGACTTTGAGATGAGGTCATGCTTGTAGTCCTCGACGATACTAAGGCATTTCTCCGCCAGGTCTTGTTGGGAAAAAGACGATCTACCAGCCTCGGTTTGAGTCGAAGACCCTGTGATTCCGGGTCCTGTAAGTGACGTTCCGGTGGGGACATTGCTGGTCATGGAGGTACGACGGAAGTGAAGTGTATGCACGTAGATTCAATATTAAATAAATTAATGGCGCAGTGAATGCGCAAGCAGTGAGTGCTCAATGCTGGATGATGGTGAAGATCAAGGACCTGAGTCGCAGGTTTCAGCCCCTCATCAGCATTTAGGAGGCTCAGTCATGAGCATACGTCGTTCGATGACGTGGATAAGCGCAAACGTGAAACTCGGCTTGAGCCGAGCGTGATCGTTGATTCAACTTGTTTAAACAAGTTAAAACTCGATTAAAATAAGGAGGTTTCGAGGAAAGCTCCTTGGTTTAAGGTGATGGATCTCCTTAGAATTATTTATTCTAAGGAGGTTTTAAGTGTGAATTAAGGTAAATAAGGACAAATAAGAAGCATATAAGGGATAAAAAGGAACTCGATGATTTCCTGATGTACTTCGCTGGCAGCTTCGGGAGTGTCTTTCGATCGTATTCAAGCTATGGGACGTTGGTCAAGCGACTCTTTTCGAGTTTATATACGAAAAAATCCGGCTCTCATGCACGCACTCGTCTTCAACGGCCGCTCCATACATGATCCAGCGGCTCCCTTCCATCCCATTTAATACTAAGCATTTCTATATCTTCATTCTTACTTATTGTACTTATTATTCTGTATCAACGCCCTCCCCTTCCCTCCCTTTATAGCTGGTGTTATAGCACTGGGCTGTCCCGTAGTCTCGTACAGTACTCTGTCTCGCGTTGGTTTGTTTCCCGAATCGATTGAGGACCCCGTTACCCTCGTAGTGGGGTCCTCGTATTGCTGGCTAAATCCTCACTCGTCTGCGTTCACACGAGACTCGAGCGAGGACAATTAGATAGAACGAACGACCGATCATGACCGTAAAATCCCTCCTCTGGAGAGTCGGGGAAGAACGGGTGGCTCATGCACATGACTTACATGTTTACATAAAATTTTAAATAGCTCTAAGCTTACACGTGCACCTGATGTGCAAAGTTCAATGTTCAGTCCATCCGAGTCGTGCATCATGATTCATAATGAGGACGAAACAAAATTGCCCAACAAAGGCTTCGTCAGAATAGTACAACAAGGCATACATAGTTCATAAGTTTTCGAAATGGCGTCGCCGTTAAAAACTACACAACTAACATAAATTTAAACAGACAATCTCGCCGTGCTTGAATGATGAACGAAAGTGAAGTTGATCAGGAGAAAACGAGAAAAAAAGAATGTAGGAAGTGACACTCAGCATCCATCCTCCTCCGCGACGCTCATCCCCCGAAACCCACTCTTCCATCCCGCAGCGCCTCCACCACCGCCATCGATGCTCGGCCGTGGCTTGAAACTCTCCTTGCGAATGCGGCCCGTCGTCTTTTTAGCTGCTGACTCCCTGGAATGACTGGACGCCACCGAACCAGAATTGTACGATCGTGTGCTTGAAAGATGGTGCGAGCTCACGCTTGAACCAAGATGTGTTACGCTCGTTTGTGATCTTGATCGTGGCATCGTCGAAGGATTGCGCCCCCACCCAAGCGCGGCATACCCCTGCGAGTTCTTCGACTGGGAAGACATAGGGGGCGCGTTTTGAGTGGTTGGACGGGGGAGAGCTGAGTTACTGGGTGTCCGGCCCCTTGTGGGAGATCCTGGACGTACTGCGGGATGATGCGTGCCATCGACGAGTTTCTGTCGTTTATTGGTTCCATGGGTATATGAAGACATCGAGGATCCTGACCGAACGGCGGGCGTCACCACACCGTGATGAGATGCATTGGATTTGCCAGGGACATAGCCTCCTTTGGGAGCGACATTCGTCCCACTAGCGGCAGGCTTCAGGCTTTGCGAAGCCACCCTGTTAAGCGCCTGTGCGGAGTATTGAGAAGTAGGCGCTCTCTTGCGGTTCTCCTGTTCGTTCGCCGACGCATTCTCCATCAACAGCTGAAGCATGCTTTCGCCATGCACGAGGAAAGCTCGTCCATGCGTCTGCTCCCATGTAGGTAGAGATGATAGTAGTTGTTGTTCAAGCTGTTCGGAAGAAATCAGACCGGAGGTTCAGAGTATGAACAGGAATTGACAAACCTTGGGCTTCTCTTTCCCAACCCTCTTTCGCATCTTCTCTTCCCGAAGCAATCTGCCGGGATCTCGTCCTCCACCCCTTCCTAGAAGGCGCGTCTGATCACTTGCTACGCGCTCGAGCTCCTTCTCTTCCTCACAAATCTCCATGTACTTCTTGATCGACGTCAGCATTGGCATCTTGAGACGCACTTCTGCTTTCAGACGGGCGATCTCATGCTCGTGCTGGCTCAGCAAATCCTCCGTATGTTCATCTATGACATCTACTCAGTCAAAACTCCACGAAGAGGGTGTCAGCCACAAACTCACCATCAGAAAACGCCGCAAAATCATTCCGCTCATCATCTCCTACCATGAGCTCTTCCCATAAGCTCTCAATTTCTGTACGAGCATTGGCAATAAACTCGCCCATTCTCTCGCGCTTCAAATCAATCATGCGTTCCAGTTCTTCTTCATACGCTTGGACTACAGGAGGCGTCGTTCCGCGATTCGCCTCGACAAAACCATCCATAGCCTCCTCGCCTACACCCATACGTCGCCAAAGCGCCTCTAGCTGGTCATACATAGCTTGGATATGCACTTCGCGCCGCCTCTTGAGTTCGTTAAGTTCAGCGTGAAGTCTTTCAGCCCATGATAAAATCCCCTTCGTTGGTTCGATACCGCAGGAATTTAGAATTGGTCCAGGTGACGAGTCCTGTGGCGACGAGTCGAGTAGTTCGATGAAGCGTCCGAGGGACCTGAGGTATTCATGTTCGTTTGGGAACTCGGGGACCTCTGGAAGGGCTGTGGAGGGCTGTGGGGAAGAGGACGACGGACAAAGCATGTGGTTATTGGATTTCCCGAGAGATGAAGGAGTAGGAGTTAATGGTCCGATGGTTGAGGACGCGAATGGATCTGCACTCGAGTTGAGACGGGTGCTTCCGGCTGATGAAGATCGTGGTAGAGAGTATCTTGGTACAGCCAGTGTTGAAGATGAGGTGGCAACCGATGGTGTGACAGTGGATGGGGGAGGATCGATTCCTAGTTCTGAGTAAAGCCAGTCGATCTGGGTGAAGACTTCACCCAGTTGGTTTAGTCGCTTCAACTGTAAACCTGTGGTTAGCGGTATAGATCTAGACGAGACGAGACTGGCTCACCACTTCGCCTTTTCCTCTCACAAGCTCCTTCTCGAGTTTGGAAAAACGTTCAGGCATAACATCACGTAGTGCTGTAGGGTTGTCTAGTTCCTCAGTAGCAACAAGTGCTGGAGTTAAGATATCTGGTGGAAAGAAATGGGAGCCCAAAGTACGCGCGAGGGCATTCAGGCGATTGGTCAATGTTGTGAGCTGCTCGAGCTTCGTATGATAGATCTAAGGAACCATCGTCTCGGTAGATCGCGCGTAGAAAATATCCGACTCACCTGTCTTAGTTTCTCCTGGTACACAGTAGCGCTTTCATGTCTCCTCGGCAGGACCTTCTCGGCTTTCAGATCGCTGAGCGATCCAGCAACTTTGGCATGTGTGCCCAGCGCTCTCGAATAACGAGCGCAACCAGACTCCACTCCTTCACATTTTCCTATCCAATCATCCACTTGTTTCCTCCGCACTTCTATCTGAGACTCGACGGCTTTGGTCAGGGTATGCTGTAATGTTTGAAGTTCGTCTTCCAGAGCGGTTTGCGGTAAGCCGAGTTGAAGATGGAGTGTCGGCAAAAGTTGAGTTTGGGCATTCAGGTGCGTGTGTAGTGTTGATAGTAGCGTGCTCAACGTTAAAGATGACGAGGAGGACATGTTTGGTGCGATGAGAGATGTGGCATCCACCAACGTTAGCGCTGGCGAAGGTTGGCGACCATTTCAAACCAAACCGCGTGTCTTGGTCACGTGGCGGTGACTTCACGCGTCCACACTTGTGACAACGCGTCGCATTGATAGATCAGTGTAGGCTACGTAGTGGATTCAGTGAAATGTGAGCCTCGGAATGCAAAGCACCTTGTCCTAAGCGTCATGCCGCTGCTCACGCTTCCTACGCTTATGCATGTACAAGCTTGGAACAAATACTAAACTTTCAAGACAAAGAAGGGGCGTCACACCAACAACATATCTTGCCGAAAGCACAATGCGGATATAATGATATCTTTAATCCAAGTATCAGCTCTATTCTACGTGGATGCAGTAATGAACGAGTAAGTAGAGCGAGTACAATGTGTCCTGTCTAGTTGCCACTGATCTCCTTGGCAAGCTGCTCAGCCTTGGACTTCACATCCTCGATAGTACCGGCCTGTTCAGCAGATCAGCCAACATTACACCAAAATCATGCATGAATGCGTACCATGTAGAAAGCAGACTCGGGCAAACCATCATGTAAACCAGCGAGGATCTCCTTGAAAGAGCGGATGGTGTCCTTCAAAGGCACAAGCTTGCCTTCGTAACCCGTGAAAACCTGTGCGACCTGGAAGGGTTGCGACATGAAACGCTGAATCTTACGAGCACGCTCGACCTAGTCTCTGTCAGCATTCATCATCACTTCGGTCTGTGTTCACTAACCGTCAACTTGTCCTCTTCTGACAACTCGTCCATACCCAGAATGGCAATGATATCCTGGAGAGATTTGTAGTCCTGAAGGATCTTCTGGACAGCGGTGGCAACCTCGTAATGCTCTTGGCCAACAATACGGGGGTCAAGCATACGTGACTTGGAGTCAAGGGGGTCGACAGCGGGGTAGATACCAAGCTCGGCAATACCACGCGACAACACAGTAGTAGCGTCCAAGTGAGCGAAAGTGGTGGCAGGAGCAGGATCAGTCAAATCGTCAGCGGGCACGTAGACTGCTTGCACGGAAGTAATTGAACCCTTCTTAGTGGTGGTGATACGCTCTTGCCTATACTGAAGGTCAAACCAATACTACAGTGAGGACAATATGGTACATACATGCCACCCATGTCAGTAGAGAGTGTGGGTTGGTAACCGACGGCAGAGGGGATACGACCGAGCAGAGCGGACACCTCAGAACCAGCCTGGGTGAAACGGAAAATGTTGTCGATGAAGAGCAGCACATCCTGGCCTTCCTCGTCACGGAAGTACTCGGCGATAGTGAGGCCGGTAAGGGCCACACGGGCACGGGCACCAGGAGGCTCGTTCATCTGACCGAAGACAAGAGCGACCTTGGAATCACCCTCAAGGTTGATGACACCAGTCTCAATCATTTCATGGTACAAATCGTTACCCTCGCGAGTACGTTCGCCGACACCTATCGAATAAAGAAGATGAGGCCGTGACACAACCAAAAAAAAAAAAAAAAAACGAGTTGAACTAACCGCAAAAAATGGAGAAACCACCATGGGCTTTGGCAACATTGTTGATAAGTTCCTGAATCAACACCGTCTTCCCGACACCAGCACCACCGAAGAGACCAATTTTGCCACCACGGGCGTAGGGAGCAAGAAGGTCGACGACCTTGATACCGGTCTCCAAAACCTCGGCAGTGGTCGACTGGTCAACGAATGGAGGAGGGTCGGCGTGAATTGGCGAGAGCTTGACACCCTTTATAGGACCACGCTCGTCAATTGGCTCACCAATGACATTCATGATGCGGCCGAGAGTTGCGGTACCGACAGGAATTTGAATGGGAGCACCGGTATCGACTACCCTTTGGCCACGGACGAGACCTTCGGTACCGTCCATAGCAATGGTACGGACGGAGTTCTCGCCAAGATGTGATGCGACCTCGAGGACAAGACGGCCACCGTGGAAATCCAGAACCTCCAGTGCATTGAGAATGGGTGGAAGAGCATCGGTCTCGAACTGAACGTCAACGACGGCACCAATGACGGTTTTCACAGTCCCAGCAGCTCCCTTCGCTTCCGTTGCATATGTCCGCGCTATAACCCGAGTTCATCCGGTTCAAATAGAATGACGCGAAAAAAGCCAGAAAAACACAATAAGTGGCAGAAACAACAACCCCAGACTTGAAACTAACCGGGTTGCGCTGATACACGCGAAGGACGAACGGCCGCATTTTGTTTTTGGGAGGAGGAAGGAACGGCGACACGCGACAAAGAATAAGCAGCGGTGTTGATGAACCGGCTGGTGTTCTTTGCACTGTTGGCCGCTCTCCGTGAGATGCGGGTAACGCCGCGGGCAGTAAGCATTCTTCTGTTCAACGACGGCGAAGACGACGACGACGGATGTAAGGTTGCAAGAAATACTTACCCGACACACTTATTCGCAAACGTGCGAAATTCAACTTCCGTTCAAAGCTCCGCCATCGGGTGAACGGCACGAGCAACCTTTACCTGTGATACACTTTGTCTTCGAAAGAATCAAAATCAAGTCAGAACTATTTGTCGAGCTCACAGTCGTAGGGCTTTAGGTCGATGACATCCATATATTTGCACATGCAAGTCCAAGTTGCGGCCGAGCGTTGTCACTTGGCAAGGGTGTTGCGACAGGGCCTGGGTTCCGGGGGCGGCTGTTGTCAAATTAATGCTGATCATGCATGTCTTTTTTGACGAGATCCATCGAATGAATCACTGTCTATCCGCGTTCATCACGATGGTACGAGCTTAGCAGGTTCAAATCTATCACGATGATCATGATGCTGATAATGATCTGCATGAGCATTCTTGTTGTCCTAGCTCCATCCTATGCCGTATATTTGTTCGGCGATGTCGTCCTGTTCATGATGGTGCACCTATTGTGAGGCACCCGCCGTTCGAATCTGTTCGAAGGAATATCCCTTCTGGCACCACGATATTTTGAAGCATGCATCCCACTCAGAATTTCATTGATCTACATCGACTTCTGGCGGTGGTATCCATCATTATATGATACGTGGAATCGCCTTCGGGAGAACTTTCATCGTAAGTTTGCGCAGCCTTAATTTCTTGGTCTGAATCTCGAAATAAGCAGTGTCTTCGGTTGTGCACTCTCAATAATGCAGTGTATAATTGCTGGTGGCAAATGGAACTGTGTGGAAGCCAAGAGCGGTGCATGCTACGCGTGTAAGTATTGGACAGTTATTGAATTATCGGGGCTGCGTATTGATCAGGGGGAGCCTCGGAACATTATGCGGTGCGCTGCCCATCTCCTATGACCAAACTTGAAAGGAAATACTTATGCGCAGTGCTGGATTCGGGGCTGGACGACATCCTGTATCAACGTATACTGGGTGCTGGACCCTGATCGATGATTAGCGCTTCAGCTAGGAACAACAAGCTCCTTCAAGAGCGATCGTCGGTTGATCGGTAACTGAAAAAATGTGTTAGCGCCACTGGGTATACTCCAATTGTGCGAAATCCTACCTCTATACGGTGGCACGAATGTCTACATACCATCATCGCAAACGCAATAGCCATGCGCGTGTGCTGGAATTTAAACGCAAGTGGTCGATTAGATGGTAAGTCTCATAGTCACCCATTACGCTTGACCATTACGCTTGAAGCTATTGTGCTCTCCATCAGCTTGATCCTTGAGGGGTACTGCCATGACCACGTACGGTAAGTCGCGAGTACTTGCATCGTTGATCACGTCTGGATGATATTTAATTTACGGTGACTGACTGGTCCAAGTACACAAGCGTTTGTGAACTCGTAATTTGAATTGAAGTCTCACCGATTTATTTCAGTGTGCGAATTTTGACGATGTCTCATACAGTAAGCAGTGCTTAGGACGGACTCGATTTTGGCGTGGACGACGTTGAACACTCATTAAGGTTCGCACTTGATAAGCATAATCGCTTCAGAAGGTCGGCCTGATGGCGTATTCGTTGTTTTGAACCAGTATGCTTATCATTTCTGCTCTGCAGACCTGCTTATTTTTCGCACATTTGCCTTTTGGCACCAGAATAAGAAATTGCTGGTGTGGCTTCTCGTCCTCGCTGCGGTAAGTGTCAACTTGATGGTCCACCGATCAAACTTAAATTTGTATTTGGACAAGAGCCAAATGCTAAGAAGCAACGAGTCGCGTTTGCAAGAGGAACTCCAAGTTACGTCATCGCTGGGTTGTGGGGAATGGAAGAGAGGGTTTCGGGGACAGTTGGAGGACTAATGCTGATCCTGCTAATCTTTCTTATGACTTCAAATGAGTATGATGGTACGAGCGTGGCAGGTTCACATCTATAATTTATTTTTGTCGTTGACGCTGATTTGCGGCCTCATGATATCTGTATGTGTCCCCGTTGTAGCCGATCATTTGTTCGGCGATGCCATCTTGTTGGACCTGTGCATGATGGCGCATCGTGCCATGGGATCAACTCAGTTCCGAACTCGCAGTAAGTTCTAAACAACCTGGCGATGTCTATCCCTTCTGAGAGAACGAACTTTGTAGATATGTACCTCATGCATTGGTCTCCATAGACTTCCTGCGGAAACCCACGTTCATCCGGATGATCTACTTTGATACATTAGAAATATTAACAAGGAATGCAAGGTCCGCCGAGACTCGGAGATCGTCGGTGAACTAAAAAAATGTCGACGTCGCTCTCTGGTGCGAGATCCTACCTCGGTATACGTACCGTCGCGTGAATGTATGTTCCTTATCGCCACTGTTTTATCTAAATTCTGCTTGCGGCTAGTTACAACCGCGAGCGGAACAACGGTCCTAACGCTTGGCCATCTGTAGCTGGTGCGTCTATTGGTTCGATGTGACAACCCTCATTCTCGTGGTGTACGAAGACAATTCTAAATTCAGACCTGAAGTTGAAACTGTGCAACAATGTATACCCAACCATACACCTAGATTGCCGCACGGTGGGACCCAGTTCCTAAGATGGTACACGATGAAACTTCACGCGTCATGATTGACCGTATTTAAAGGCATACAGGCGAAAGTTAGCACACTAGAATACCCTCATCGTCTTCATCATGTCAGCTACAAGTGTGGGCTTTCAGACGACGCAGGTTAGTCTATCACCTTCCAGCCCGTAGTCCAAATATGCTCTAACATCCTGGACTTTTGTAGTATTTCACAGGTGTGTACTTCACCCTCTATCACTCGCATTGTCTAACTATGGAGAAGTTGGAGCAATGGCAGTGGCGGTGGGTCTCTGAACTAGAACGTCTTTGAATGCTCTTCCTATTTGTGCATGCAGATTTTCGACTACTGCTTGACGATTTCACAAGAGGTTTGTGACGATATTCGAGCCAGATGCGAGCTGAATTAGCTCGCAGATCCAGTTGATTTGGGGAAGGAGGTGGGACGCCACTAGAGTTACTTTCACCCTCGCTCGTTATGTCACCTTGGCCGGTGCTGCCATGACCACGTACGGTAAGTCGCGAGTCTTTGCATCGTGAATCGCTCCTTGATGGGATTCAAGCTGCGGTGGTTGACCGATCCAAGTATACAAGCGTTCGTGAACTTGTGATTTAGAGAGAAATCTGCTGACTGTTCCTTTCAGTGTGCTACTTTCAACAATGTCTCATACGGTAAGCAACACTAGGACGGACTCGAGTGTAGCGTGGTCATTGAACGATAACCAAGCTTCACATTTGATAAGCATCATCGCTGCAGAAGGTCAGCCTGATGGCACTTTCATCGTTTTGAACCAGCGCTTCATCTCCACTCTGCAGGCCTGCTTATTTTTCGCACATTTGCCTTTTGGCATCAGAATAAGAAATTGCTGGCGTGGCTCCTCGTCCTCGCTGCGGTAAGTGCCAACTTGATGATCCATTGCTCAAGAGTAAAATTGAATTGGACAGATTTGCATTGCAGGGTCTGTCGGGGTGACAAAAGTTGTGAACATCCTCCATCCCGCTCCTACAAGTACCCGCGCTTTATCATATCGAGAGAGCACCTTTACTGACCTATTTCAGTGAACACCACTGGCTGTGTGTTTGCAAGCGGAAAGAGCAGCGCTATACAGTACTGTTTTTTGATTCTTTATGAGCTGGGTAACCCAAGTTGATACTGTTCAATTCCCGAACTGTTGACCTGAGATGTCACAGTGCTCATGGTCCTTATGATACACAAGATATTAAACTTCTATGAAGGCGCTCGAAGTCGCATCATCACCACCCTTTATCGTGATGGGATGATATACATGACCTGCATCATAAGTGAGTCCTCTTGTTTGTGAAACTACACGAGTCTAAGAAGTCATTCAGTGGCATCCATCATGAACATTTTTGTCGCCCTGGTCGTTCCTGTGAGTTTTTATGTATCTGGATCCACCGAACTTACTAAAATGCTCGACCTGCAGGTCGCGTACACTGACATTATGGATGCGTCAGTCATCTCTTCATCTTACAGGTTTTTCCCGCTGACTTCTATAAGACCACAACTCGTGATACACGGAGTGCTGGCCTCCCGTATCTTATTCCATCTGCGTCAAAGCCGTCGGTCTGAATCTCCGAACATTTTCCCCCTCGCGGACATGTATCGCACACCTGATGCAGGTGAAACGACAACTGGTAGTTATACTACTTTCGTCAGCGTGCACAAAGATATTAGTGCCGGAGATTCGTGCTGAGACTACTAGTATTCAGTCAGCGTAAATATGAAAGACACTTATATGGTCAATCCGTAACTGGTCTGCCCACCGGACTCTTTTGAATTGCGGTGTCCTTTGATTCATTCTTGTTTTCTTTCCTTCTTACATTTGAACAGTACATAATTATGAGCGTAGATGGCCAAATTTGTTATCAATACTACATGTCATCATTCTAACACGCAATCAGGCCACACGAATCCCACACTCGGTGCTACGTCGTCCCACTGGTGGCAGCCATATATTCTGATTGGCTTGGAACCAAATGGCAAGAGGCCATCGGGTCGCGTTCAATGGTCCTGAGACACGCTGTCATCGCTAGTGCGGCGCCGCGGTAGACCCTCGGGGAAGGAACTCAGTTGGGGGCCAGTGAGTGTTGCGGTCGAGGACGACTCGGAGGGTCTCGGACTTTCCCTATAGAGGGCCCGACATGGCCGGTATTAGCGAGGCTGCTCGGGTACTCGCCCGGGTTACGGTATGGCGCAGAACAACTCTTTTTCTGATTCTTTTAACGGCTGTTTCATGATTCATCCACGTCTGGACTGACGCTCCTCAGACTTGTGACTCGGATTTCCTTCTAATCCACATGCCTCCTCAACGTCAAATATTGGGCTTCACTGCCATCCCGAGCTTTGGTATATTGGCCCACAACGGCTAGTCGTAAACTTGTATCCTCCAGACGACGTCTTATGCCACCCTGCATGCACAGACTTGTGTGTCCGTATCCCTGCTTTTAGTTGATCTCCTACACTGCCAGTGATGTTACAACTTGAGGGACCGTAGTATATCGTAGGGTAGTACCCACGTCTATCCACATTGACGGGGAACACAGCCAAGATGATGGTCCTCGGCAATCGCTGACACTATATGCAGTGTTGACGTCATTGATACCCCAATCCTGCGGCTCTTGTGCGAAATTTTACCTTTACTGCGGTGAGAATTTGTTTGACTTATCATCACCATTGTAGCTGAATTTCTGTTTGTACGTGATCTTGGATGGAAAAACCACAACAACCGTGTGTGGATTTATCACTTGGTGGTTGCATAGGTCCGGTGGACAACTCCCTTAACTTGATACGACGCCCCAAACCACAAAACCAACTGCTCATGAAGATGGTCCCCAATCGCTGCAACTCACGAGGGAAACAGTCCTTGAGTCTTCCAGGTACATAGTATAGTATCTGCAAATCATTTTGATGCCAAAGCTGTGCAACTGATCGTGAGATTCGTCACCGCTGGGTTGTCGAATGATGGGACTGTTGTATCCAATAAGTCCTAGATGGGACATACATGATGCCACTAAGTACCACTGGCTGTCTACATTAAAAGGTACGCAGGCAAAAGTTAGGAGCACCTCGCATCCACCATCGTCACAATGTCAGCGATAAACACAGGCCTGCAAACCGCCCAGGTTAATCCATTGTTTTCCAGCCCAGCAGCCCAAAAGCTGACGTTTTAATATCTTGGACATTTACAGTATTTCACAGGTACGCACGCCGCCACCATTGCGAGCATCCTCTTGTCTGACGATGAAGAAGTTGGAGCGATGGCAGTAGCGGTGGGTCTCTGAACTAGAACGTCTTTGAATGCCCTTCCTATTTGTGCATGCAGATTTTCGACTACTGCTTGACGATTACACAGGAGGTTTGCGATGACATTTGTCCCCGATGCGCGCTAAATTAGTTCTCAGGTCCAGTTGATCTGGGGAAGGAAGTGGAACGTCATGAGAGTTACTTTTACCCTCGCTCGTTATGTCACCTTTATCGGTGCTGCCATGACTACTTTCGGTAAGCCGCGAGCTCTTGTATCGTGAATCCGTCTTTGATGAGATTTAGCTGCGGTGGCTGACCGGTCTAAGTATACAAGTGTTCGTGAACATCGCAACTTGGAGTGATAAACATTAATGACTGCCTTTTCAGTGCAGTACTTTCAACAGTGTCTCGAGCGGTAAGTAATTCTAGAAATATGTTCAAATTTAGCCTCGATGTTGAGTGTTCATCAAGCTTCGCATATGATAAGTATCATCGCTGCAGAAGGTCGGCCTGATGTTGTTTTGAATATGCATATTTATCAACTCTACTCCGCAGGTCTTCTTATTTTTCGCACGTTTGCCTTTTGGCAGCAGAGTAAGAAAGTCCTCGTATGGCTTCTCCTTCTTGCCGCGGTAGGTGGCTATTCGGTGATTCGTCGACCACGCCCAAACTTGGATTTGTATAGATTTGCATTGCAGGGTCGGTCGGGGTTACAAAAGCTGTGAACAGCCTCAATCATCCTGCCCCTGGAGGTATCTGTGCTTTATGTCGAAAGGGTCCCTTTATTAATACATTGCAGCGAACACGACGGGCTGCGTGTTTGAAAGCGGAAACACCAGTGCGATACAATACGGGTTTTTAATTCTTTTTGAGCTGGGTAACCCGATTTTTTGGATGCTCAAGCTGTTAATCTGAAATGCCGCAGTGCTCATAATACTTAACGTATACAAGAGATTCCACTTCTACCAGGATTCACGCAGCCGCCTCGTTGCGATCCTGTACCGCGATGGGTTGGTATACATGACTTGTATCATAAGTAAGTTGTTTTGTTTATGAATGGGTTTGATATGGATATAATGAGAATCGTTCAGTTGCGTCTGTTGCAAACATTTTTATCGATGTTTTCGCTCCTGTGAGTATGTAGGCATGTGGATATTGAAATTTACTAATGCATATGCTTTAGGCGGCTTACACGAACATTATGGACGGGTCAGTAAAATCCATCTTTCAGGTTTCCTCCTCTTGACTTCTCTCAGACCACAACTCGTTATACACGGTGTGTTGGCCTCCCGTATCCTATTCAATCTGCGTGAAAGCCGCGAATCTGAGTCCGCCATAATCGGACGAATTATTCCTCTCGCGCACATTCATCACACGCCTAGTCCGAGTACAACAAGTGGCGAATCCACTCTCATCAATATTCAGCACAACGATCACAGGGCCAAAGATCCATGCTAGTATAGTGTTACATACTCCGACTAAAGCTACAACAAGCAATCGAATACATGCGAATCACCAAGTTTCAAGTGTCCTTCGAGCACATTCCTGAGACAACACAAATCAAGATCATTTCAGTGGATAATAGTGCGGGGGGACTCACTCTAAGTCTGGAGAGATTGTGAACAATTGCTACATTCACAATTGTGCGTAACTTTCTCCTGAATTCAGGTTTGCTGAGGACTAGCTGGTACGGTCCGGAACAATGACAATATCGCGATACGTTGTCCGAGCGAACTTGCTTGCACTTGCCGCAGCGCATGTCCTGTTGCGTGAACGCTCTTTCGAGCGATCCAACAAGTCTGACCAGCTCCATCTCAATCGCAATACGGTCGTACTCTCCTCCACAACCTCCGCAGATCCAGCGTGGTCTAGCGCCATCAAGACCATACGGCATGAGTTCTGGATCGCGGCAGAAGTCAAAGTCACGAAGTGTATCGCAATGCCGGCAAGGGACATTAGACAATTTGAGCGGCTCGCATGGATTGCGAAAAATGGCTTCATTAGCAAACTCGCGCACACCAGCAAGGTCGAGGAGGTTACGCTTGAGCAAACCGATCTCAACCTGATAATCAGAGGCGAGGCCAAGCACGGTACAGATAAATTTGACGAATTCAAGGAGCGCATTTGTCATGTTGAGATGCGAACCAGGGAGGACAGGGAACTGGAATTGAGCGCTCAGGACTTCGTCCACGGAGGCATCTCTTTGCTTGGTTTGGATAGCACCAACCAACCGAAGCAACTTGCGTGTGAGTTTCCTGGCGATAAACTCCCGCGTTGCATCAACCTCGTTGATTTTGTTCGGGTCAGGCTGAGTGGCCTCGGGAGCCATATTCTGAAGCACTCGGAAGGGTGCTCTTGAACCTTCGTTATGCTTCTGCCGAATCTTGAAAAGCTCGATGATGAAGAATTGGATGACGGCACCGAAATCGTCTTGGATAGCGGGTGGTAGGAAAGTCTGGATATTCCATCGAGTCTCGATGGTGAGCTCTTCTGGAGGGTCAACAGCCAGCGGGTCTTCGCATACAATGCCTCCCATGTTCGCAGAGTCCATGAAGAGAAGAAAGTCGTAAAAACGCTCGGTTTTGAGGTACATATGTTCAAAGAGTTCGTGTGATGTCACTGCTGTGGTTATGTAGGTGGCATATGCGTGGGCAGTGCCTGGAGGCTTCGATGTCGCTAGCAAAATCCGGCTGAAGTCCGCATGGATGACGTGAGATCCGAGTCGCTTGAATTCAGCCAGCATCTGGATGAATGTTTTCCTCATGAGCCCATGAACGAAGCGATAAATATTTGGGTCATGAAGGTGGGAAGCACTTGTGCTGATCCAGCGCCAGAAGTGATCAATTGCTAGCGTGGCCGGGCTTTCGAAATTGCCCTGGACTTTGTCAAGCAACCATGTCTTGACCATCGACTTGAGGATGCCGAAGGTGAGAGTCGAGATGTTTGATTCTCCAAGGGTAAGGTCACGCTGAGCCTCGCCTCCGGAGAACTCGTCCAGTGTTCGAGATACGGAATCAAATGCTGTTGCTCCGCCACTCCCTTCAAGCTCATTAACAGCGACAGAGTGGAGGATGGAGTTCACTGCCAAATTGCGAACAGTGACTTCCAGACAGACATTGGAATAGCATCCAGGCGATGCGAACTCTGTTTGCTGTACATCCTCGGTTGGTCTGTTATCATGCTCTATGCCACCAAGATCTGGCCGTTCCGACGGCGACCACCAAAGGACAATGTCTTGCTGAATCAGTCGCCGGGCGAAGCTAATGTCCGACAACAGCAGTGGCTGATCGCCGTCGATGTGACCAATAGGGATATCATAATAATCCGCTAGGGCAATTGAGCGATCCAGCCAGGTTCCTAGTGATAGGTACCGCTGAACCATCTTTTGGGCGACGTCAGGTTGCCAGGGGAAAACATTGAGCGTATGCGCTGCTTTTGTTTTTGACATTGAAAGAACAGGGAATTTTGAAAGCTTTGGAACCCATGCATCAAAGTAAATTTGATCCTTGATAGATGAAATCACGATGGTGTAAGACATATTTTCCAGAAGTCCGAGTTCTCTGGAAATGGATTTGAGGGCTGTCGTGTCCTTGTTGTGGTATGTAGTATTGAAATCGCATGAGGTGGGATAGTCGAGCGAACTATTGCCGTCCTTGGATTGTCGCTTCGCCGAAAGGTCTTTGTACAACTCTTGGAGACGAGGGATTTGTTGTCGACGGGGAGCGGGATCAACAAGGTGAAGTTTGACGGCGCCATTGGGCATGAACATCGCAAATACGTGGACATGCGAAGTACTAGAACATGCATGATACAGGAAGATGTACTTCCCCGAGCGGCCGCCATCCAGGTATATTCTGCGAGAAAGGGAGGGAGTGGCTCGGTCGAGTTGAGACAAATCGACACCACTGCTTTGAGCACGGTTCAGAGTCATGCCCAGTTCGTCCACAGTACATGTCTTGCCTAGTTTGAGGAGGGCACGCATCTCTAGTGGAACCTAAACGGCTGTGAGTATACTATTTGCTCACAAAGCGAACGAAATGTACCTGCCGCTCAAAGACGCCATCAACATTCGGATCATTCGTAAGGTCCATAAAATGCTCTTGAATTTCCTGATAAGCGTCCTCCTTGACAGAAATCCGATAGAGATTTGAGCAGGGAAGGTCACGAGGAAGGTGACGGACAACTTTCTCGAAGGCATAGTATTCTGGTTGAAATAGGCCGTCGCGAGGCGGAGTCTTCAGGTGCAAGAAAAACTCGCGAGGAATGCGCAGAGGCACAGACACCAGTTGAGCATCGACGGATACCCATAGTGTGAATCGCCCGGGAATCTTACTGGGACGGATTTGTACGATGTCCCATCGCTGTGTTGTGCGAACCCGGGCACCTTTGAACATGGAAGGCACGATAGCGTCACCAGTGTTTCCCCAGCGAGCATTTCGCTGTTTCTTCCAACGCGGCCTGATGGCCCTGATCCACGCGGAGTAGCTGATCGTAGGGTCAGGAAGTGGAGCTTCATCGTCTGGTACTTCTTCGTCAGGCTCAGGCGTCCGTTTGCGGGACTTCCGATTGACAATAGCGATGCGAGGGCGTTCCAAGGTCTTGTCTTGTCCGAAATCCTCCATGTCCAATTCTGCGTCAGTTATTTGAGTCTGCGCCTGAGACTGGGACTGCGAGTCAGCAGTAGCACGCGTAAAAAAGTCGGTGACTTTGTTCTGTTTGAACTTGTCCACAGCGCCTGCAACACGGCGGTGCAGCCAATCAGGGTGGCGGATACGAGGAACAGGGTTAGAGACTTTCTGCATCGCGGCGGGGATGGTGATAAGCTTCTGGATGACTGAACCCAAACGCTCTATGTAGTAATCCCAGTCGAGGATGGATCTGAGATCGAAGTTGCAGAGGCTGTGGTCTTTGAGCCATTTACGCAGGTAAGTGCGCTTGACACTCTCTTCTGCTGAGAATATAGCAACAGGGACGGCACGCTCTGTGACTGGCGCTCCATTGGGCTTCGCGGAAATGATAAACTTGCAGGCAAGACCTTTGTCCTTGACCATCTGGTCACCAAGGAACTCAGCAAGTCGCTTAGCGGTGCTGATAGAGGTTGATTTCTGTCCTCCGTACTCCGCCAGCGTCTTGGACATGCTACGGTTCTCGGCAATGAGTTCAACGAGCTCCTCGTCAGTCAGCGTGTCAGCCTTGCTAAAGAGGATATCGAGCCACTGATCCGCAACCTGCGCAACTGCGCCATAGCATTCCTCCGTCGTTGTTCCCAGAAGGAATTTCTCGAAGATCTGTGACTGGAAGATCTTGATCAACTGGAGCTCTCCCCGGCGCTTCACCTCAAACCCCTTCAGCTCTGCAAGCGACCCGTCGTCATTGAAGACGGCATACCGCTTCTTCAACAGCTTATCTTCCTCCTTCGACGATGGGAGAATCATGGCTTTGTATGGCCCATCTAGTTCGAAGAAAATGGAGTTCTCGCTGTGCACGATGTACTCCCCGGTGGAAGTGTCCAGGTCGTGGTACTGGTGGTTGGTAAACCGGGCGTACACAAGGTGGTTAAGCATCGTACACGGATATGAGAACCCGATGGCTTTCCCATTGTTGAGTTTGAACTTGAAGTTCTCCGGGAAGACACCAGGAAGCATGCACCAGATTCCATCCGTATCAAGCTCCAGCGGGCGACCAATCTGCTCGACGAGCGCGCGCGCCATCTGGATGATCGTTGCGCCTGTGAGACAAGTAATTCCCGCCATCTCCATCGAGTGCCACCGCGCACCCTTGCGCATCACGTACCCGTAGAACGAGTTAAGGATACATTTGTGCGCAAGCTGTAGGGAGTCATAAAGCACAATCATCTTCTTCGCCTCATCGACCTCTGCGATCGAGCGTCCCTCACTGACCACGGTGTCCAAATTCTTCTTCCAGGTCTTGTGAAGTCCCTTGTACTCATAGCGACGGTCACGGAAACGTCGCACCGTGTCGACATAGAAGGGGTTCTCCCGCTGACACACGATCGACTCTCTTGTCTCCACCTTCGTATCCTTGATCTTCTTGTACACCTTCCGCGAGTAGTCACCCAAGCGCTTATGCAGCAACGCAGTCTGCTCCGCATCTGTCAAGTCTGGGAACCGCCTCTGCGGGCCCCCAGGCCTCTTCGGGGGAAACGTCTCCTGATTTAGTGCGTGCCTAATCATGTTGTACTCGTCCCTCCTTGCAGGAAAGAACTCTCCCCTCCATGCCCACTCGAGCCGCCGATCGCATGTCTTTCCGGGACGATTGAAATCGCACACCGCGCACACAGACTCATCCACCATCGAATCTGGCTGCAAGCGATTCGAAAGCATGATGTTCGGGTACATCGCCGCAACATCCAAGTGGTAAATCAGCGGCTTGTCCGTGCGCTTTGGGGTATCGCGTAATGCCTCGAGCGCCGACTGTATCTGTGACTTGACCTCGTCATAGTTGGTCACATCTTCCAGTGAGGATTTAGACTCCTCGGTGATGCAAAAGGTGAGTGCGGCATCAAGGTCGTCGATAAGCTGTTAGATGTAAGTCTGGGGTGTGTTGCACTGCGACAGGAAGCTTACCTGTTGCACGGCTGCGGGCACGATCTTGAAGTCCGTGAGGATGTCACTGCGGAATACGCCGGCTTCAAGTGCCTCGACGTGCCCTCCAACATAGGTCTCTGATGCAAGTAGATGGCCCTCGAACATGTTCAGATGCGCGTCCTCGTGGCGGTTCGGCATGATGATGTGGCCGCGGTACGCCTCGACCTGGTTCATGTGCGAAGTCAGCTACAACCGAACGACACGAAGGAATCAGACATACCATTAGCAGTGTCTCACAAAGTGTGCCACTTCCTTTCCGCAGCACTTCGTCCGGACAGAGCGGAATGATGTTGCATAGTGAGAAAATGAAGGGGTGCACGTATTTCATGTATAAGTAGTACGTCGCTACCGCATCGGAGACAGAATACTGCGCAAGGACCTGTGGCTGCTCCATCGCATAGCTGCAAGGAACACGTTAAAATGTCGTGATTGAAACTGGGACAACAGAACAGGGTCACAAAGTTGAGCAAAACCGAACAGAATATTCAAAGAAAGCGATATAGCACATACACAGCGTAAAAATAACATCATAAAGGGAGAAATAGACTCACGGTGTCATCAACTCTGGATCAAGTTCAATTGGATTGTACCCAAGCTTGGCTGTCGTGACTGCCTTCAAGCCCTGGCTTCCCTGTGGTAAATACGAGTCGCGCTTTACCCACCTGAAGCAGTCCATGTGTACGCATCCGCGGGACTTGAACTCGTCCTCGTTATCCTGAGCGAAACCTGTCAGCAAAAACATGTCCAACCCGTTTGCCTTCGAGCGTGCACACAGGAATGGAAAATCGAAGAAGTCGCCGTTGAATGTTGCCATCACCGTAGGTTTCACATCCTGGATGTGATTGAAAAACCGCATGAGTGTTGCTGCCTACAGAAGATATGAGTTCAAGTTAAAGACAGAAACGACGGCGTCACCTCGTCCTTCTCGTTGAAAATTATGAACGGCCCCTCATACCCCTCCTTTGGCGTATATTCAAAGTCATCAATGTCCTCGCTTACAATCTCCCGGTTCGTTACTAAGAACCCTTGACCATCCACCATGTATGAAATCATCATCACCTGGTCCACTGCCGCATCTGGGAACTTCAGCGGCGCTTTCGTGGTCTCGATATCGAATGCCATCACTACAGGATCCGCGCGTTTGACCCTCTCTGTCAACTGCACAAACGAAGGCTGTCCAGCTGTAAACGTAATCCCATACCACAGTCCCACTCGCATCTCGTTGTCGATGGCCACTCGCAAGTAGTAAGGCACGTCGAATTCGCGGATATCCACGATGCACGACGGTGCATCTCGATCCCTGTAGTTTGTCGCATTGCTTCTACCGATCTCCGCCCATTCGCCTTCAAGTTCTACATTCGTGCTCGCTGCCGCTACAACTTCGGCATACGCGTCGATTGCGTCTCGTTTTGCGCCGTTTGCGAGTGCGAGAGGGGCTATGTCCCGTCGTACGGCCAGAAGGTCGCTCACGTTTCGAAAGCACAGTTGCATGTACAGACGGTGATGACCCATGAGGTGGTTCGGCAGCTTCAAGTCCTCTTTCTTCTCCCGCACGATCCGTACAATCAAGCCTTCGAACCGCTTCTGTAACCACTCTTCAACAGAAGACTCTGACCCAGTCTGTGGGATGTAATTAATATCATAGACATTCATTGCCCAAGAAAGCTGCGGAGACTCACCTTGCATGCTATGTAGAAGTAGGGTTCATACAGCATTGTACACTTGAACATTCCTCCGTCATCCTGAATGAAGTAAAAATCGACGGCCGCCTTTCCGCCCGGGTAGTCCGCATCCTTTATTAGAGTCTGAAGGAGGTTCGTGAATGAATGAACTGAGTCCCAAAAAGCCAAACACGGGACTCACGGGATGCATGTTAATCAACCAGCCCTCTCTCCTTGCACCTTCTTGCACTCTCCCAAATCCCAGCTTCTCGTCAATCTCGTCGCTCTCTCGAACCCGTTCGAATCGTTCTTCTAGTTGTGTTCCATCATCTTCCCGTTGCGGGGCTGGACCATCACCTGGTGCATTCGACCCGCCGCGACCGCGACCCCGTCCACGACCACGAAAGTGTGTGCTTCCGCGAGTACCACCTCTGTACCCGCGACCTCTACCACTGGATGTAAGCCCAAAGGCGCCTCGACCTCCTCGTGCCATCGAGTTTGTGGATTAACAATGGCGAAGACGAGACTTCTTCTCATTCAAGTTGATGTGACAACGCGATGTGACTTGCGCGATCTGTCATCACGTGACGTGATAATGTCACAGAAGACTCTCATGATTCAAATTTCGTGAACCACTGGTTAATATCGAACATCACATCACGGAGATCGAGTTTTTTCATCGCTGGACACTGATAACATCATACAGGAGTAAACCGCATTGATAGTGAATTATCGAAGAAGGAGCAATTTTTTTGGCGGCGGCCCTTCTTTGTCATATTTGATCGCGGCCGGATTGTTGAATGGCAAAAGGACTTGCATCGCGTCCTCGCGCTTCTGAATGTACGTCTCTGTAAATTCATATGAGCTTCTGCTGTGGTTGATGTGGAGATCCTCGTTTTCAGTGATGAGTATGTGGTGTTGATCGACGAGATGCATCAGAAAAGTTCTCTCGCCAAACGTTACCTTGAAAAAGAAACGATTTTTGTACGAGATTGCAGCACTGAAAATATACTGTCGCTGATACTGAAAGCTTAACTTCCAGTATCCTATCAGTTTCCCCGCACGTCCATCTGGAGCAACTGGGCATCTTCAGATTAACCTAATCTTTCAGGCTACTGATTCCCCACCACTTTTTACTTCTGATCTGAGAGTACAATTGAGTTGTGTCGCTACATCGACTCATCCTCCATGTACAAATCATGATTCGTCCCTCGTCTGAGCGACACCGAGACGCGCACGGGGATCACAAAATGCGACTTGGAAGGTCAAATACCGAATCCCATCTTCAACGGGTACCTCGCAGGCTGCAGCTGATACTGAGGCCGGGTGTTCGCATTGTGACTCTAGCACACGCATATACACGCATATACACGCGGAGTCCCACGCACAAGGTCGCGTGTGCATAGTGTATTTGCCATCCAATTTCGTTTGATAAAAAAGGAGTAGTTCTTGTACTGTCTATAGTGCTCGGAACTTCAACTTCAATCCACATGTAATACTGACCTGGACGGAGATACGGACAGACCTATGGAATACAGAAGATAGTCGTTCCTTGCCGTCACCTTCCATACAAGCTTCTATGGGTCTAGAACTAAAACCCACGACGGAACAATGTTCGAACCGCGATGTTGCCCCTGTCGAAGCTTCCCCTCGGACTCGAATGAAAATGTAATTGCGACCCTGTCCGATGCTGACACAAAATACATGGGCGGGGTGATCTGGACAGAACCAGGCCTTGTCAAATCTCGCTTGTTCAAATCCCAATTTTGACCAAGGGTAAAATTTAACGAAGAAGGCACCAGTGGAATCGGGCTTAGAATGGGTCCGATGTCAAGTGAGTCGTGCCCCAAAACTCAGACTTGAAGGATGGTGCTGACTTCTGCATCTGGAACCTAATGGAGCGTTCAGACAGGTACAAAGGTCACAACATATCCTACCATTACTTTCCATCAACAACCCTCTCTCATTGTCAAGTACTACCAGCACAAGATGAATGTCCAAAACCTTCGCCATAATCTCAGCTTTCTCCAGTTGAATGCTGCCGGCCACGTCGTGGGCAATAACATTGGCCAATGTTCGACGGTACGCGTGCATCATGATAGCGACACGCTTCCTATGCTCATCAATGTTCATAGGTCCAGGTCATTTGGAACGACAGGGCCCAGGGCACAGCGAACCTCTATGTTCCCGCGGCGAATAAGTTTATTACGATCGATGGAGTGATTGGTCTATCTGGTCTTGACAGATACGAGATTGCTAACAGCGCGAAATGATAGGAAAACCAGGTCGTAGGATCCGCCGATTCCCAGCTGCTCCAGTTGGACCGGGAGGGAGCATGCTATGCGTAAGTATAATCTTCGGTTCCAATAGCAATAATTCATTCATCCCCTTTATGCGCAGAATCCGTAAGGTCGACGACCCTATTAACAGGCTGCTCCTCGATAAACCCTCAGGCCCGGTTTGTTTTTCATCGGTGTCAATTTTTGGCCATATGACTGATGTTGCTCCAGGTCACCTATGGTCCGGCTCCTCTCGTGAGCGCTGCGGACTTCAACAAGCAGTACTGGATGCTCGTTGCGTCGAAGTAGTGAGATGTTTCAGAACGCGAGGAGACCTAGTTACTGTCATTTTACGTCGTCCATCGCAGAATGTTTATCGGATCAGCTTTTAGTGGTGATGTATGGAAAATATGTTTGTGACTCCCCTTGGCTAGACTGTAGCTGTCCTGGTACCGCGATTAAGTTTTATCGCATTTCCTTTTTGCCCGCAGAAGCAGGTCACCAGGGTGTCTAAGGAACTAGTCGTTACAAATCGGCGGCAGTTGCAGTTTAACACTGCTCAGTGTATAGGCATGATTTTGAGTGCGTGGGGAACGGACTTCTGAGAACATCACAAATCCAAAAGTGACCGATACGAAAAATAAAGGATCATACAAGGTTAGGACAACCGGGCACAGTTTTTGAAATGCGTTCAAAAAGGTATTTCGGGCGCATACATGCATCCGATGTTTGCGAATGGTAAGATGCTGCAAGTCTATTCAGCCGAGTGCATCAGATAGGGCTTGGGCATCCTGATGCTGCACCGCCCTGAGGATTGCCTTGATCAACATCCATACAAATATCCACCGTCAATCCTCTCACACGCCCGGAGTACATGTGCGCCCTCCAGCAATACGCAGCCTCTCAGAACACAACGCACGGCGCCAGTGAGGACAGGCTGGGCGACGAGTGTCTCCAGTACGCGGGCAGCATGGGTAACCATCGGAAGGTGGAGGGTCTGGCAATATGTTGGAGTATAGATGCCGAGGAGCTGTCGCGAAACGAGCAATAACGACAACTGGGCGTGTGTGCTGGTATGTTGGCGGGCTGAAAGACATCGAAAGAATGGTTGTGTATGCCATGGTGGACGAACGGGGAGTTTTCGGTCGCTCCGCTAACGCCATAGATGACCATATACCGACCTAGATGCAAATGATATTTCACTGCGGTATACCAAGTTACTGAAGTTGTTTGGCAAAAGCTTCGGATCCAAACAACTTGAAGCTGAGCGCTGATTAATTACCTTGTTTGAGTGTGTATATTAATAGACACATTTGGATATAATATATTTGATTGGATTTCGCCAGAAATATCTATTACATAAAATCACTTCTTGGCTGAATCCTTGTACTATGATAATATGAAAACGGTAGCGGAACTGTTTGTCGGTCTAATCGTGTACGTGCTACTGGACACCTCATCGTCCAGCCGGGGAGAGTCACAAACGTGTTTCCATACATCCCGACTAAAACCTAATCCGACATACATTCTGCAACGGATGACGTATACCGACAGCAACTAGCCTAGGTCTCCTCGCAGTCTAAAACACCCCTTCTACTACAGCTCAACAAGCACCCAGAACTGCTTGTTGAAGTCCGCAGCGTCCGCGAGAGGAGTCGGGCCACTGGTGATCTGGAGTAACGTCAGTCATGAAGCCCAAAATGGTCACCGATGAAAAAACAAACCGGGCCTGAGGGCTCATCGAGAACCAGCCTTTTAACAGCGTCGCCCACCGCATGGATTCTGCGCATATATGTGACGAGTGAATCCGCAATACCACTGGGACCGAAGACTATACTCACACAAAGCTTCCGTCGCCCTGCACGTTCAAGTGGAGCAGCTGGGGATTGACGGAGCCTACGACCTGGCCTACCTATCATTCCATGCTGTTAGAAATCCTAAATCTGTCAACACCAGATAGATCAATCACTTCACTGATCGTAATAAACATGTTCGTCGCTATATCCAGGAGATTCGCTTTGCCCGCAGCTGCGTCGATCCATTGGACCTCGACCTATGGGCATTGATTAGTATAGGACGCACTTTTCTGCCGTTATGAACGCTTACTAGATCACCGTGACCAGTGTTTCTAGCCAGAACCTGGTTGAAACGATTCATCTGGACATGGCTGAGATTATGGAAAAGATTCTGGATCATGAAAAAGGTCATCGTGTACTGGTGGTTGACTCCGCTGAGTACTACTCGGAGACAGAGTTATCGATGAAAACTAATGGTAGGATATGCTGTCACCTTTATACTTGTCTGAAGCTCCCTTAGGTTCCAGATACCAAAGTCTAACATCCTTCAAGTTCGTCTGAGTACTGGTCTTGGGTCGAGACTTTGCTTCGGGGCATGTCATTCGCCGGATTCCAGCATCAAAGGCACATTCGTTCCTGACGTTATAATCCAGTCTCGACTCTCCCGCCCGAAGCTGACTCGGTCATGTTGGAAAGAAGTTCGCTACGATACCCTATGATATCTTTATGGGTGCCCTCGGCAGACGAGTCATTGTAATGGGGCGCGATATCTTTTAATAGTCACCGACAGGCGTTCTTTTGACGTGCCACTTGTTTATCGACATTAATCTAATCATTCAAGCCACTGACCCCCCACCGCTCCTTACTTCTGATCTAAGAGTACAATTGAGTCAAGAGCAGCTTGGGAGTGCAGCGACATCCCATGCATGAGAATCACATAAAGCGACTTGGAAGGTCAAATACCGAATTTCATCTTCGACGGGTACCTCGCAGGCTGCAGCTGATACCGAGGCCGGGTGTTTGCATTGTGACTCTAGCACACGCACATCTGGCATGTGCATAGTGCATTTACCATTTTATTCTCCAGATAACCAAATAAAGTGCTGGGAACAACTTGAAGCCGCGTGTAATACTGACCTGGATGGAGACAGCTTGACTGCCTGATCAGTGACTTGAGCGTCTTGGTAGTCTGCCCTAGCCAGATACGGTACAGAAGATATTGATTGCTTGCCGTCATCTTCCACGCAGGCTTCCATCGGTCTAGAACTAAGACCCACGACGGAACAATATTCGAGCCGTGATGTTGCCCCTGTCGCAGCTCCCCCTCGGACTCGGATGGAGATAGGATTGCGACCCTGTCTGATGTAACACAAAATACATGGGCGGGGGTGATGTGGAGTGGACCAGGCCTTGTCAAATTTCGCTTGTTCAGCTTCCAATTTCGAGCAAGGGCAAAATGTAATGAAGAAGGTACCAGCGGAATCGGGCATATAATGTGCCCGATGACATGTGAGTCATGACCCAAGACTAAGACTCAGACTTGAAAGGGCGGTGTCGACTTCTGCATCTGGAACCTAATGGAGCGTTCAGACAGGTATAAAGGTCACAACATATCCTACCATTACTTTCCATCAACAACCCTCTCTCATTGTCAAGTACTACCAGCACAAGATGAATGTCCAAAACGTTTACCATAATTTCAGCTTTCTCCAGTTGAATGCTGCCGACCACGTCGTGGGCAATAGCATTGGCCAAGGTTCGAAAGTACGCGTGCATCATGATAGTGACACGCTTCCTATGCTCATTGATGTTCATAGGTCCAGGTCATTTGGGTGGACGCAGTCAAGGGCGCAGCGAACCTCTATGTTGAGGCGGCGAAGAAGTATATTACGATCGATGGAGTGATTGGTCTATCTGGTGTTGACAGATGCGAGATTGCTAACAGCGCGAAATCATAGGCAAACCAGGTCGTAGGCGGCGCAAATGAACAGCTGCTCCAGTTGGACCTGCAGGGAAACGGAAGCTATGTGTGAGTACAATCTTCGGTTCCAGTGGTAATAATTCATTCATCCCCTGTATGCGCAGAATCCGTAAGGCAGGCGACGCTATTAACAGGCTGCTCCTCGATAAACTCTCAGGACCGGTTTGTTTTTCATCGGTGACAATGTTTGGCCATATGACTGACGTTGCTCCAGGTCACCTATGGTCCGGCTCCTCTCGCGGGCGCTGCGGACTTCAACAAGCAGTACTGGATGCTCGTTGCGTCGAAGTAGTGAGATGTTTCAGAATGCGAGGAGACCTAGTTTAAGTCGTCCGACGCAGAATGTTTGTCAAATTAGCTTTTAGTCGTGATGTCTGGAAGATATGTTTGTGACCCCCTTCGCTATGTCCTAGTGCCGCGCGATTAAGCTTTCTCTTTGCGCGCAGAAACAGGCTATCGGGTGCATTGTGAGCTCATGCTGCAGTATACGGGTCGACTAAGCGATATGACATACATGTGATCATGAATATCCGATCGGAATCAGTAACGCCGTCGACTGCGAGATCGTGAGTGTCGCTAGAGAGGTAATTTATGGCGCGGAAAACTGTTGGGATCGAAGACTCTGGCAAACATAGAGGAAGGTCAAAGAGCCACTTCGACTAATACACACATATGAACTGGGAAGTTGCCTGCCAGGCCTAAAGTCATTATGGGTGGGAACAAAGTCTTCTCAGGCTCTTCTTCGTCTGATCGTGATTCTAGAAGGAAGCCAGTTAGCCAGTGCTCGAGATCAGGTAGAATATGCAATTCTGCAATCACTTTTTGAGAAGTTCTTCACCGCACACCTCTCTGCGAGTTCAACCGAGTTTGGCAGTATTTCGCATGATGTGGGTCTGAGTACGATGACACTGTCTAGGAGTATCTCAGAGTCATAGATCAGTGATCTGAATCGTTTCCATGAAGCATTCAATAACTGTCGGGCCCTCGTATTTGAGCCACTTCAAGTTGAAAGTAGTTGATGTCACGGTGGAAACTAGGGCTCCGTTAAAAACCTCTGAGTTTTTGACGTTGGAGTTTTTGACAGGTTTTTAACGTGTTTTTAACCAGTCGATAACTCGGGGTCGATATTGGGGTGTCAAAAACTGGTCAAAAACTCGAATATATATGTATATGATCCCAGGAACATAGCCTGTCAACTCTGTCTCTGAACGTCCGAAATCACCAAACAATCGATAAGATATGACCGGTGACTGACGAAAGTACTGTCAATGGTCTACTGTCAAATTGAGAATATGTTTGATTCATGAAGTATCTCGAACGGCACTCGCACAACTTCTACATAGTATCCCCCTCGGAAACTCTAAATATAATTTTGAGCATTATGCACCAGAGTGACCGGACCCGGATAGGGTCGAGCTCTATGGCAGTATCGAAGCTGCGCTCAGGAATAATGCACAGTTGTGCACTTACACATCATATGTGGTTCCGAGACTCCGAGTCCTACCAACACCAAAAATGCAACAGCCGCAGCTACAGCAGCTCGCCAAGCAGAATCAGAGTCAAATAATGCCAAAGGTGACTCCGAGGCACTCAATATTGATGCCGCCGAGTATGCAGACTTGCCTGAACCAGTTGCGCAAGGCCCAGGTGGAGTACTTGTGGGTAGCGAGGACTTGAATCTTGATGCTCCTCGATTGTGAGACTTACTATCAGAGAAGCCGGTAGAAGGGGCAAGGAGGACACTTCAACTACGGCCCACAGCACAGCACAGTAACCAGTTCCAGCGTCGTTGAGAGGGCCCGTGCCGTGGGCATTTGCATTACCGTAGCGAAAAAATGCCAAAATGACCTGGAAAAACACGTTTTTTGAGTGTGTCAAAAACTGGTCAAAAACTAGTTTTTAAATCGTGTCGAAAACCCCTCGAAGGTGGGGGTAGGTTAAAAACTCGTCGTTAACTCCGTGGGGAGTTTTTCACGGAGCCCTAGTGGAAACTTGTCAAATGAAAGAGAGTTAACCCCGCAGCGTGGGAAACTTGGGTGACCCTGACAGTTCACTGGAATTTTCGGGAGCACATATGCTTGTTCGAAAAATGCCTCTTGCCTGGCAGCCCGGCCCCAGCCAGTGATAGGTCGCGGTAATGGAAGAACTCGTGCAGTCCCTGCAGTACCACTTGCGGGTCTGATATTTCCTATCCAAACTGCCACTGGCAGATGACACTTGCACTGCCGTGCTACTACCAGCGGCGCCGCCTTCTGTAGTATCCTTACACCAGTGTGGCACCAGTATTACTGGAACCTCCTCATACACACAATATTGTCCCACCTACTCCCGTCAAGCTTGAAGCTTCGTGCCTGATGATTCGGTCAAATTGCAAAGCATCTTATTGATATAATATGTACAACTGATGTATCCCAGCAAGTACTCAGTAAGTTGTTCTTGAACGCTTTAGACGCACAAGCTGATTCAGCCCGAGGCACTCCCAGTGGCTTCTTCGTCTTCAAACAGCTTGAAATTCATACCCTGCGAAAACGCATCCAGAACGCAGTCCAAGAAATTCCTCCTGTGCTTCCCCAACCACGCAAGACAGCCGACGATGGCCATCTCATCTATCCACTTTTTGACGGTTTCGGCTCTAGTATCCCCTCCCGGAGATGGCTTGTATCCCGGGAGCGATTTCCGCAACATCATCTTCATATTCGAGAAAAGCAAGTTTGAATGCTCTTCTGACATCTTGTAAGCGAGCTGAGCCTTGGGCCTCTCGCGCGGTTGCGAAGAGTACGGTTCCGGCAGGGACCCCAGCATCATGCGACCAAGACATTGGATCATAGAAGCTGTTAACTGATAGTATCTCTGACTGATGGGATTGGTGGTCGGCCCAGCCATCCCGCATAATCCTCGTAACGAATATGCCATGTGAAAACCGGAAGAGAAATTTGATGGTGAAGCCCGCCGCTCGTACAAAAACCGCGTGAAGTACAAGACACATCTATCTGCTGACGTGCCTTCCTTGAAAAGCCTTGACAAGATTTCGGGGGCCTGTGGGCTGCTACACGAGAGTGTATGCCACACGCCAGGGCTGCATGACGCACGTTGCAGAAAGCTCAGCACGGCGACTTCATCTTGAACCTCTTCCAAAATCCCTTCACCTCCAGCCATCACCGCGCCAAGTGTGCTCATGTGTGGTATCATGAATTGGAAGAGTTGAGAAGACGACTCGGTGGAAATCGAAGGGAGCAAGGGGGCGAAACGGGCGCCCTCAGCGAAAGACACGGTAGTCTCCAAATATCCTCTGCAGACCTTAAAAACCTTCGTGACCTCTCGCCTGATTTCATCTGCGAATGAGGTGGGCTTTGCTTTCTCCATGATCTTCAGGACTAGATGGGCCCTGTCATATGCAGAAGGGAGCCGTTTGCTACCCATGCATATTTGCATGAGAAGCGCATAAAGCTCTATATCGACGAGTTTAAGGGCATCAATATCACTGCCAGGGACAGCCGTTGGTGATTGCAATGGTTGACGAGGAGCCGACACTTCTGTCTCCGTAGTGGCAGTCAAGCGCCCAATGAGCGGAACGAGCAGCTCGCTCGCCAGGAAATTCATTGGCAAACACCGGAACGCACGCGAGGTGCGAAGCATACTCGCACTTGACAGAAAGGTCAAAGAGCCTGTCTCCGTCATGTTGACCAATACAACGAAATTGAACGCCAACGTTTGGGGTCTCGACAGCTTTGTTATCTTGAACACAAAGCTGTCGTTTTCCCCATCCTGGGAGGATCTGTAACGTGCAAGTGACCTCGCGGATTGGAAGTGGTCAATGTGCATGTTATTCCCTCCACTGCTGTAAATTGGAGTCGGTGGTGCTGGATTCACGTCGAGCAAGGAGCTCACGAGGGCGCCTGGCATTAGGTGTTCTTTCAATTCTGGACGCGATATAACACCGCGCAGGACGATAGCAATGCGGGGGCTGACTACAAATATGCGGTGCAGGCCAGGGGAGCCACCTGCCAAACCTTCCCACAAACCAAATGCATTGTGCGCGATGATAAATTCTTCCCCTTCTGCGGCTTCCCATATACTGAAGAAGTAGCCGTTTGCCTGAGTGTGGTAAGTGTAAGCTGGGAAGAGTTCGAGATCAGGTGAGATATGGGATTTGGTCATCATTTTTTGAAGACCTTCTTCACCGTACTTCTCGATGAGTTCAGCAGCATCGCGCATGATGTCTGAATGAGACATGTCCAGGTAGTATCTGAGGAAGTGTAGCCACACCTCGACAGAGGATTGAAGACCCTTCGCCCTCATGAAGGACTCGATCCACTGACGGCCCCCTGCGTTTTCCGGGTGATCCACTTGAAAGTAGGTGCCGGAGCACGATACATTGCGATAATGCATGACAAACAGGAACTTCCGCAGGCGCTCTAGAGGCCTGCGCTTCAGAGTGAAAGTACCCTGAGGAAGCTCTTTATGCAAGGCTGTGATGATGGAGGCTGCATGACTTTCGAGGTCCCCTAATTTCTCCTCTAGTTCGTTGATATTTCCAGTGTTACGAATGTCCTGGTAAAAGTTCGGTACGCCGTAAACCTTTCCAATAGGGCGTATGTCAAGGCTGCCTGTAGCAATATCATAGTAGTGGACGTATTCAGGATCAACACCAGTGCGTCCAAATTCTCTATCTCGTTCTGCTCTGGACCTGCAAAGAGTATGCTTTAGTGCTTAGGGTTACACAGAGAGTGCTCGAGGGACTCTGAAAACACACTTCACAGGCCCGACTTGGAATCTTCGCAATATGAACCGTGGAATGAAATGTTGGTATTGGTTTGTACTGCGACGTCGTGGCATTCTGTAGAGTATAAATAAGCCTAGGAAATGAGTAGGAAACGAGTAGTAGGAAACGAGGGAAACGAGTAGGAAATGAGCGCTAGCCTCGCTGAGCACGCCACATCTGTGGCGTGCCGGCCCTGTAGTAAAGCTTAAAAGCTTGAACTACAGAACGTAGTACTACCTTATGCGGTGATCGATGATCATCCCATAGTAAGTGCAATGGGCGCACAGCCGCGGTTTGCGAAGCGAGGTTCAAAGATTCAATGTCGCTCGATGGTGTGCAAATCTGTCTGCCTCATTAGTTACTAACTCTGAAACTCATGATCAGTAGCTCTTCATGATTCTTTGTCCCTCGTTTTGTACTGTTTTCTTTTCATTCGGCTTTGTGTTCCCTTATTCAAGTACACACGTCTTGGTGCTAATTTCGCGCTCAATTATACGTTGATGGTGCACATATTTGTGAAGAGAACTAGCGCCATGAAGGTGAGTGACAATCGGTGTAGTCACAGACTGAAATCGATATCTACGGTAGGTTGATTCATTCTAAACTGTTGTCAAAAAAGGCCACGTTCAACTGTCCGGGGCACCATCCTACTGTTAGCATTCATTTAAAAATAACATTCTTATCGAAATATATGAACGGCGCCGGGCCTCATATCAGGTGAGCATTTGCTGACGAATTGAATACACTTGCGATGTACCTAATAATAACAATATGGCACGCCGTTCCTACCACCATACCATTGTCTTCAAGTGTTGAGCTCAGTCATTTCCCACTGTTCGTTGATCATTCAAACATGTCCACACCAAAGAAAATGACTTATGGTAAGTATGGCCACGTTCCGTAGGAAGGTACTCACTCCAACCATGTACTCAGTGAGGCTGGGGAATTCTGGCCTAAAGGTGTCCAGAATCATCCTTGGCATTATGCAGTACGGCAACAAGGGATGGCAAGAATGGGTTCTCGGAGAAGATGAAGCGGTAGAACACATCAAAACCGCGTACGTTCCCAGTCTCGATCATAGATTCACAAGCCCCTTGACACTGGGGCAGCTACGAAGCAGGAATTCAGACATTTGATACGGCTGATGTGAGTTACCCAACATTACGGTTAAGTGTCAATCCTGGCTAAATAAAGGATATCTCGTATCTTCTGTTTCTTAGACGTATTCCAATGGTTACTCAGAAGTAATTCTTGGTCGAGCAATCAAGAAATTGAGGCTACCTCGCGATGAAATTGTTGTCATGACCAAGGTGAGTGTCGCGAGTGTTCTTCAGCTCTCATCATTTCTGCCTCACCCAGGTGTACCATGTGGTCGGACGTGAATATAGTGCCAGCCGGTTCTTTCCCGGGCGTGATGAGCCAGACCGACACGGGTTTGTCAACCAGCATGGTCTCAGCCGCAAGGCATGTTTTCAATCAAGATTTTGAGGTGTTTCGGCTTTCTGAAACAACGAAACAGCACATCTTCGCAAGCGTGAAACAGAGCCTGGAACGGCTTCAGCTGGATTATATTGACCTTCTACAATGTATGTCCAACCATCAATATGCTGGCCACTTCTCATACTGCTTATTCACTTGTAGGCCACAGATTCGACAAGGACACACCAATTGAAGAGACGGTAATGCGTATTACATACTTGATCTCCTGTGCTAAGTTTTGAGAAGATGCAAGCATTGCACGATGTAGTCCAGGCCGGTTACGTCCGCTACATCGGAATGAGTTCGTGTTGGGCGTACCAATGTAGGTACACCTTGATACTCCTCTGTGTGCTGCAGCACCGGTCTAATATTCATTTTTTGTCCAGTCCAAGCGATGCAAAGTCAGATTTCAATACAGCTCTGCATACCTTCCTCTGACCTTGAATTAATGCAGACTATGCGATCGCAAACAAGCTCACTCCCTTCATCTCCATGCAAAACCACTACAGTCTACTCTATCGCGAGGAGGAACGCGAAATGTTTCCCACTCTCCAGGTTCTTCAGTAATGTTGAGGATATTAGCATTGTGACTCACAACAATGAAGATGTTTGGTGTCGGCTCAACCCCGTGGTCTCCGCTGGCTCGCGGTGCCCTTACACGTCCCCTCGGACGGCAGACTGAAAGAGGTCAAACTGATTCGCAAGTTTCCGACATCCTAATCGGAGTGATCGCCTGATTTATGCTCTCTTACAGCATGATAGGGAACTATGTTCACGTATCGGCGTACGAAACTATCATTAACCGGTATGTTGTCACAGTATTGCTCGAGAAAAGCAGTGGGCTGACGGGGCCAATCAGCGTCGAGGAGCTTTCCAAGAAGAAAGATATAACCATGGCCCAAGTAGCACTGGCATGGATCTTGACCAAGGATGGTGTGTGGTTTTTCACGCTCATTCGGACACTTGAGCCTCATAATTTTTCTCCAGGAGTGTCGGCTCCAATTGTCGGAACAACAAGTCTTGAAAAATTGAAAGACCTCATTGGTAAGTGGTGATTGTCTATATGAAGCATCTCTTACCCCACTGACGCTGCACCCCAGCTGGAATCGACGTGAAGCTTACGGCGGAGGAAATCAAATATCTTGAGGAAGAGTACAAACCTACTGCTGTGATTGGTCACTCCTGAGTAGTTGAAGGTACAGCTCTGATGGACGCCTATCGGTCTTCGTTCGTTGCTTGAAATGGACACTAGCGTTTGCAGTACTCTTAATCGCATCAAATCTAGTCAACACTCACCGGCGGCCACGCGGAAGGACATCGCGTGCGCCTCGTGAACATGTGCAAGTCTATCGATTCATGATCATAAACATAAGCCAAGAAACCCAAACAAGTAACATATAGGGACAACATAGTCAGTCAAGAAGGTCAGATACAGGTACAACATATACGCATCGTGCGTTACAAGCGAGAAACTCAACCTAACGAGGCTCTAGCTGTTTCAAGAAAAAAAAGGCATGGTGGTCAACGAAATGAACGCTGGAAAGTATCATATGGAACAATGGCATCAATTAAGAGATGACGCCTCCAACATAATCTCCTCTAACTTGTACCTTTTCAGGGCAGCGTGATAGTTGATATACCCATAGAAGAAACTGAGATAGGCGTCATATGCCTCGGGACACGGTTTCAAGCATCCGAGGATATTGTGATGCGCTTGCATGGTTTTCTCAATGATTCCACCCAGAGCGTCACGTTTGGTGAGGTTATGAGCGGCGGCCATGAGACACACGTAGTTTGTGGTTTCACCGTCCATTTCCTCTTTATAGTAGGATAGGATATCGCTAAATAAGGGAAAATTAGGACAATTTACCAGAAATGATAGATGTGCTTACTTTACGGTGTTCACGACAAACATCACGTCCGGCATAGATTGAATGAATTGACGATACGGGATCGTGGAGGGGAAAATAAACAACGCATATGCACACGACAAGCCCCCTAAGATCCTACAATAGTATGGGTATGAGGGAGCATGTGTTGAGACCTATTAGCACGAAGAATTAAACATTGAGTTGCCTTTATTCCGGACAACACCGTACCTGCATATTGTTGGTCCCATGTTCAAGCATGATCCCAGATATGAAGTCGAGGGAGGACGTGATGATCATATTTGCCACCAATGGGGAGTAATGGTGATGGGCCTCGCGCATGAGCTCATCAAACGCACCCAGGAGTGTATTAGCTTGTGGCCGACAGTTCACAAAGTTCTCATTAAAACTCTGCAGATGCACTGGGTCTAGTCCCTTGTTAATAATGTCGTCTATGCGGGTGCTGACGCCAGTGAACAGGCAGATCCACATCCTTGCGGCACGATCAGGGAGGTGGGCATAACTAGCACAGAACATGGACACGCCATTGGCCATGTGCGAGCGGACGGAATATTCTCCTTCCATCGGAAAGCCACGATTGATGGCTTCCTGGATGCATTCGGTGTATAACGCTTCGTCGAGCACGAAATCCTTGTATTGCAAGCCGCAACGATGAAGAAAATTGGCGACGTCCTGGCGGATGCTCGCTAGGACCTATATTCGGGATTATAATTGCGACATGGAAGCGTGGCAAAGAAATACACGCACGGCGTCATCGAGAGTAGATGTGGACAAGCTGTTAATGGACATCGTGAATAACTATCAGAGCTGAGCTTTGAAGAGGATGGTTGGAATGAGTGTTGTGCACCCTGGTACTTATACCCTAATACTTGATGGGACGAGTGATGTGTGTCATCTTCTTGAAATTATTATTATTCGATGTCGTGTTCGTTAGAAGCTAATAACGAGTCCTCACGTTTCGTGCGTGATCGCCAGTACGAGTAAGAGTACATGTACAACGTGATTGTGGAGCCACCGTCCTCATCCACTTTGCCTCAAAGAGATTAAAATATGTGATCGGCACTTCACACCCGAACTGCCGATCCTTCCGAAGCGCTATGCATACAATGTCAGACGCCCATGATGCTTAGAAGATGAATAAGCACAAACACAATTGAACGTAATTTTGAGAAAATTGCTGAACTGCAGTGCCATCAGAGGCCAAGAAACTGTGAGCGCTCCGTGTCCTGCTGTAATCTTACGTGATCATGCTAGTGATATCGCCGCTCGTCGTCACGGCGTCTTCTGGCGCGCATGATTGTTTATTCGCCTGTGACGTCGAGTTCTGGGCGCAAGGTCGTATGATAAGAAGCTGTTTCACTTGGAGGAATGATGCACACCACTATTGCAAGATCATGTTGTGCAAAAACCTCGGCAGTCCTGCCGAACGGTTTGCCCGCTGACTCCTCCCATAGGCAAAGGCTACCAGTTGAAGAAATGAAGGACAGTCCGACGTGGATCCTTCCTGATCTTTCTAACTGGGGAGAGCACTGTCGGAGACGTGTAATTAGTGAAATAAATCGGAAAGTTTTTGACAATCTACAAACATACCCGCTTTCAGCGGAACTAGGTTCCCTATAGGTGAGTACTGGAGCAAATGCATAAGGCCTAGGCACTGACAAGGAAAGCCAAGTTCCATGTACCTCATGACGCCATGGGTTACTTTCAGTAGGACTATCATGATATCGGACGATGTCCCAGCAGGAAAATGTCACCCCAGATTTCAACCACAGTATGACAGACTCTGAATAGTATTGCTGGTGCGAAATACACTTGCCTTACGATTGCGGCGTCTCTTTTGGATAGTGCCGCGCTTCTGGCACGTATCCCAATGAATTAAAAGACCCTCACCATAATCATCTGCGGCAATGAGATTCCCAAGGTTGACGCCCCGGTGAGAAATACCGGACGCATCGCATGCAAGGCCTGATTGGCTACAGGGCAAATGAGCGTTTGCGGTTCGATACGTCTATTCAAGAAAACTCACCTTCTATGCTCTTCCATGGCGTCAACCACCACACACTCGCTATCACATGTGTGGATTGAAATGTCGCAGTCGACGAGACCAAGCACTAAGTATATCGTTACAATAGGGCAGTTTCCCTTTTGTTCGGCAATGACTCGGAATAGGCTGACATCGAAAGCACAATGGCCCGCCAAAAACTCTTCCAAAATTGGGGCAAGGTATCTCGAACGCATATTTCTGTTGTTCCTGGGACCTGGACCCGATATCAGGTTCAGGTTTAGGCAGTGACAACTCTACGTGAGCGAAGAGCATATCGGCGCCGTCGAATCGACAAAAATGAGGTGTGACGGTTTCGACTAGTTTTTGAGGCTGCAAATTCACGTCTGAACCACACCCTTGCAAATCGACCTGGAAATCTAAAGGTGAAGTCATAATTGATAGGAACGAACGGGTACTAGTGTTTGTGGTCAGCCGCCAGCCATACTAGTCGTGACGCGCTCATGCATGGGTGGTGGCTATGTTTGACAACGTACATATAAAGCAATGCGTTTGATGGCATCATGCCCTTCAACCAACAACCTATACGCCCACCAACACCGCCATATCGCCATTCTCTTCAAACTCAGTGCTTGCTTGAATACTCTTCTTAACTTACCATCACTATTCAATAATTGATATCATGTCCACGACACGCACAGACCTTGATCTTATGTTCCCTCAAGAGCACATTTCACTTGAAGTTTCAGCACAGCTCCCCTCTGACCTCCAGGTAAGTTGATTATCGGCTCCCTCACATTGACTTCGCATTAAAGAGACATAGATACGCCCGCTCGCCTCAACAGACTACAAACGCGGACACCTCGATGTCCTTGCCGTTCTTTCCGTAGTCAACGACCTTGGCGAGGCAGCGTGGGTCAACCAGTTCCATGCCATGCGCGTAACCCCGCGCGCATACTACTCTATCGTCATCCTTGACAAGGCGAGCGACAAGATCGTCGGAGTAGGCACTGTCTTCATTGAGCGCAAGTTCCTCCGCGGTCTCGGCAGCGTCGGTCACATTGAGGATATCGCCGTCGATAAAAGCCAGCAGGGCAAGAAGCTTGGCCTACGTATCATCCAGGCTCTCACGCACATCAGCGAGAGCAACGGCTGTTACAAGACCATCTTGAACTGCAGTGACGCCAACATTCGTGAGTAACTTCCCTCCATAGACTTTTGCTTATGCTGACCATTCTTCCACAGCCTTCTACCAAAAGTGTGGCTATGTCCAGAAAGAGAACGAGATGGTAATTTCTCAAGCACTTTTCATAGCATTTGCTAATGACGTGCGCAGGCAAAGTACGCGCCGGAACGTGGTCATACACCAAAACTTTGATTTGCCATCTTATCCACTGGGCTATACCCGTATATATATCATCGTCATCAATTGCACATATTTAGATTTGACCGTGATTTCGGACATTCTCCACACACACCTGTATCATCAGTCGTATTGCCAACACATTTTCTATGACTAACGGCTCTGCCTTGAAAGTCAAGTGGGCATCGAGATGCATGAGACCTACGCCCATCCCTAAAACCAGGAGAAGCAGATAGTGCCATGTGAAAGCATGCAACATAGATTTTGCGCGTGTGAAGTCATGTCGAAAAGGATGTGCGATACATAGGTCTGTGTCAGCGATGGAAAAACTGTTCATCGTCCACCCTTGCCACCCTTCATCTGTTGCTTCGACACCCTGGGTCCACTGGCGACAGGCGCACGTGCAGGCTACACCGGGGTAAGTCGTACGCACTTCATTCATTATTGATAACATACCTTGGCCTTTTTCGACTCCTTCTCTTTCTTCTCAGTCTTGGCCTTTGCAATGGCCGAAATTCTCTGCTGGTTGCGGATAGCAGCGGTCTGGTTACGCCTGGCGGCGATAGTAGCAAGGTCAGCACCAACGATACCACGTTGGTGCTTCACGGTCCGGCGAGAACGCTTCTTAGCGACTTCCTCGGTGATACCCTTCTTGTGCATGCGGCGGTAGACCTGTGTCCATGCGATCTTACGTGGGTTCTTGCGCTGGAGGAAAAGGGAAGCATTCTTGGAGCTGGCAAATCGGAAAACCTAGATGGCAAGGGCGTTCAGGCGGATAGCTTGAAAATGGGATAGATGAGCTGACTTTAGAGTCTCCACGGACAAAGAGTTTGCCCTTGGAGGGGTAGACACGGAAACCTGAGAACGAGTCGATTTCGACCTTCTACTCAAACACATCGAACAATTTAGATTTCAGTGATGGTTGTATATGCAGCAGAGACGCACCATCTATATGAACCAACACACACGATGGGAACAAGTCAGCTAACGTCCTTTCCAAAGCTCCATGAATATGCGACAAGCCAAAAACGTCATCCGTTATCAGTCAGATTCATCCACCACTCCTACAGCCTATCTCTCGGTGAAATTCGCCCCAACTTCGCGCATGAACAAAACGGATGCTTTCCCGGTGTTTGGTGAAGAAAATGGCATGGGGTCATGCTTACCTTGACGGAATTGCCGGGGCTTGCTGATCTGTTGGTACCTTCGAGGACGGGGTGGATGCGATGGGTAGCGGGGATTCAATTTCGGCTTGTGCCGGGACCAGATTTGTTCATTCCGAATATCCGATGAACACACAGAGCCTTAGTTGAGCAAAACTCTACATTCGCAAGGCTATGAGACCCTCTTAATAGGTGGAAGGGCTCTGTTAAAATCCTAACTACACATTGTACCAAGTTTGCAAACACTGAAGAGCCGACCCCGATTTTAAATCTCCCTATTAGTTACTGCTTGCCTTTGAAATATTACTTCTGACAACTGCGAATACAAGGACCAGGTTGGAAGACTGACACTGAATTAGGACTGTTGCAATGCTGTGGCTAGAGCTTGAGTAGATTATCCTGTTGCTGTAGCAAGCGCAGCAAGTCGGTGCCTAGGGGCGCACTGCAATTTCAAGTCCGTACCTCAAAAAAGAGGGGCGAACCTACAACAAGGAAGTGTCACAAAACGGTCACACGTCACTGGTGCGTGCGAATACGCCGCTACCTTCCCCACCGCCCTCAGCAACACCTCCACGCAGTCCAAACGCAGTCACTCCTCAATTTGCTCCGCCCTTCAAATCTCACTTCCAACGGTGTGTTTCCTTCACTGAGATCATAGGTTTCTTGCTGATTCCACTGTTTCAGAGCCCTTTTAACGTCGTTTTACCGTCATGTTCGTTCGTTCTCCCAAATCATCCAGACGCCCTAGTTCATCTGTATTTTTCCCTATCCTAGGTCCGAACCTTACGACCCTTATCTCCCCCGCAATGGCTCCTCGTCCAATCCCGCTGGCGGGTCAAGTCAGGGTGGAAATCCCAAAACCGCAGCTATCCAGCAACAAATTGACGACACCGTTGGTATTATGAGGGAGAACATCACAAAGGTGGCAGAACGTGGAGAGAGGCTGGACTCATTGCAGGATAAGACAGGTACTTGAGTTTGTGCTCTGGCATATTAGAGCGAAGTTTGAAGGTAATTCCCCAGACAACCTTGCTGTTTCGGCACAGGGCTTCCGTCGTGGTGCTAACCGAGTACGGAAGGTGAGTCTGTCTTAAATTCCTTATATTGATATGACACTAAGGCACATACAACAGAATATGTGGTGAGTAGCAGTATTTATTTTTCAGTTGCGACCATGATTTATTGAACCCATAACTTTTTAGGTGGAAAGACATGAAGGTTCGTTGGACTCGTCGCTCAACGTCACGCACAAACCTGACCCCTTCTTTAGATGCGCCTGATCATTGGAGTTGCGGTCGCAATCATCATCATCATTATCGTAGTGAGCATCGTGAAGGCAACACATCACTAAGCAGTACGTGGGTTCCCACGTGCGCACTGCTCATTCTTACTACGGCTGGTTTGTTGATTGTTGTATCTATGCACCGTATCGTTAATTCTTCTGCTTCTTCCCTGTTTTACATCTGTTGGCTGCCATTCACCTACATTCTTCCGTAGGGCCCTAGTGGGCGAATTGTGGACCCTGATACATAGTTCTTCCTTCGTAAAATTGACATGTTGTGCTTATGGATGATCCACATAACTGCTTGCTTTGGGCTAGCCGCTAGTGCACTCCAGTTATCGGCATTAACCGAGCTCTACAGTCTAAAATTCCTTCGCCCTGTTCTTCAGCTGCATTGATAATTTAACGTTGTAGAAGATGTACATCATCCTGGAGTATGAGCATGAAATCAGTGCTTTGTGCTGAATCTCTGACCTCCGATACTATCACTAAGGTAGTCCTTAGTGTGTTGCTTCAGCATCGTGTTATTTCTGGCTTACGTTCTCCCTTTTGACGGGTGGTCAGAACGGCCTGCGTGTCAGGGGGCCCACAGTACTGCCATTCAACTTGAAGTTGTAAATAATTATTCTTCGTACCGGCCGGTCACCTGCAAAGTCACATCACGTGATCAAGCAAACGTTTTGAACCTATCTTAGGAAGCCGCGGCGTTCGCGCTTGGTTCGCGCCGTTCTTTCCTCCACTTCCCATCGTTCTGTGAGTAATCCGGGATTTACGTCAAGATATCTTTTTACAGTTCAGTCACCCCTCGACTTAGGCCCGCATTCGGGGCAGAGTCTAACTTCCACTTTTCTTTGGCCTTTGATCATTATAATGTCTGACCTTGGGGACCGACATAGATAGTGGTCGATGTGTTATGGACTGTCAGAATCGTGGAGCTTAAGCTCTATCCTGGAACATCCAGAGATCAGACACAAGCGGTAGGTAAATTGACTAATCGCCGCGCGTGCAAACTATATTTGTACTGTAACAGGAATGCCAAATTCACCGGGGATCCTCAGGATGCGTACAGGAAAATTTGGCAGTGCTGGGATTTCGAAAGCTTATAAGTTCGGTCAATATCACGATTCCCTACTAGTAGGCCCCCACCTTCCCACTCTTCCTGTATAAGCCGCAAAGAAAGTAACGACGTACAAACATAAAGGTGTGTTCCGTTTGTCCACCTGAATACTACGCTTTGATAACGTCGTCATCGAAGCATCGTTGAAAAAAATAACATGTCCCGATGGCCTTGCAAGGCCAAGCCACGGTAATGTCAGGAGAACACAACCCTCAGATTGGCCTTCGGTGTCTGAACACCTCTTGACTGAGGCCTGATATCCCACTATCGGATCTCGTATGATTTGTGGCTGGTTCGGCATCCTTCTTTCGGCCGCTTGCGGTTACGCCCAGAATGGTGTGTAACCCCAGCCGCTGACCCTAGTCACTGCATTTCGGGAAGGTTGCGAATGCGGACTATCTCGGCTCTACGTATTACTTGTGAAGAGCGCTCAATCAAATGATCATGTTTGTTCATTTTCCCTCATCTCTCATGGCACGTTTCATCCCCTGACATTACCATCTTTCCTTCTTCTGTCAGACATCCCACCCTGATGCCGCGCCATTCGGCATGCCCACAGCCAACCAAAATCATAATGTTTTTGTTACTGGCCAGAAGGCCATGGTCCAACTTGCCAATAGCGTGGGAGTCGAGGCCATCGGTGAAGCTAAACTTACCGTCCGACCAGCGTCTTTATTTCGCAACATCGGGGCGCATGGTGAGATGGTTTACAGGCGTCACCAATGAAAGCTGGCCTCAAGCCTCACTCGTGGGTGCAGAGTCTTCGAGTCACAGGTGCTGGTCTCAGATAGTCCAACATGACGTCGATGAAACGAATCTGATTTTGTTGACAGGGCCTGAACTGCCTGGTCGACTGCCAATCTCTAGCCTTTGGCCTTTGGCCTCTGCTTTTGCGAATCGCCTTTTCATTCAGGTGTCCCGATGGATCTCTCCGAATTATTGGTGGGATGGTTCTAACGATTGCTCTCTTTGTCCTAGCTGGCCTCTACATGCCACCAGCCTTCCTGCCTGCAAACAACCTTTGGCCTTTGGCCTTCAGGGTATTATCCCATTTTCGCCCAGTTTATAAGTGCTCTAACATTTCCCTCTCCATTCAGTGTCTTGCAGAATGCCTTACAACTGGTACGTCTGCGCTAATATCACACTTCCTCTCGGTGCTGATCCCTTGTACAGGCGCGAATCAGAGCTATACAAACATGTTGAGGCAGCACAAGCAGGGCAGGCGCAAGCGACCACCGATGATGTACGTTTTGACCGTGCTCGTAAACGGTAGCGCATTAATTTTCACTGTAGGGTCAGCCGACTTCTCAGCCTCAGCAAAACGACCTGCCTTCTGCTCTAGTGGATTCATACGATAATTCTGTATCCGCTGATACTCAGCATCAAATTACGGATTGGGGGCATTCGATCAGCAATGATCAAGCGCTTTCTTCTGCTGGTCAACGTGGTCCGGGCCTATCCCAAATTGATTTGCCCAAAGTTCATAGGTACGAGTTTCTCACAGTCCCTATTCTTCGGAAATTAACTCGTCCAATAGTGCTGTTGGACAGCCTTTGCACAACAGTTGTCCCAGCGATCCCCACCATGCTCCTTCCTACTATCCGTCTGCCAATGATGCGAGCTTTTCTGGCACAACACCACAGTCGCAATCCCGATGCTTGTGGGATCGTGGCCAGTGCAGCTTTACTGCAGATACCGTTAAAAGCGTGATAGAGCATATTGCGTCAGACCATCTCCCGAAGCATGTGCTGCCCGCCCGCAAGGTGAAATCAGACCATCCCCCGAGGCATGTGCTGCCCGTCCGCAGGGTCAAATGTCAAGTTTGCTCACCCCCAAAGACCTTCAGGAGAGACACGATCCTCAGGCACATCCGGGAAGTCCACTACGGAGATTCTCGCTGCAAACACTCTCTTGATGATTCGGCGCTCTAGGAGCCCCTCGTTAAGTGTGTAGAGCGCTCCAACCGATTTTACGCATTCATAACCGTGGTCCACTACTATACTCTCTGTCTAGTGATCACCCTCTCGTTTTCATAGCGCCTTCTATTGATGGTAGTACCTTCCTGCTAATTATGTGTTCGTGATCGGTTCACCTATTACGAAATGAATTTATCTTACAACTTTATCTGGAGCGTCGAGATAGTAAGTAGCCTAGTCACACCGAGATGTGGGTTCCAATGGCTGTAAAAGCCGGATGTTGGACGAATGCAAACATAAGACACCAAACAACATGGGCAAGCTGGTGCCAATTCCTGAAATATTCACGTTTTAGCTGGAGTACATGCGTGCGGAGTAATGGGAGACCAAAGACACCCAAGGACACTCTTAAAATAGCCGGCACGTGCACCTATATTTGGGTGGTTGAGTGCATCTGTCTCAGCCTACAATCAATTCGTCCGTCTCCTATGGAACGAAGCCATTGGACGAAGCAAAGGTCTATACTATAAGAGTGAAAGCGAAGCATAGTCACGAATTTTAAGAAACGGGCATCTGATTGTGTTGGTTTGCTGCACTATTTCTGAAGAGTGTGGTTGACCACGATAATGTAGACCGCCCTGCGTCTCCGAGTTGAGTTAGACCCTACGCAACCGCTCCCTCTCCCTGATCAATTGATTGTATATGCTCTGGACAATCAGATCAGAGACAACATTGCAAAGTGAAATTCACGGTGAGCTCTGCTTACCTTCAGCTGTATGCTTAATTGTGTAGTAGTATCCTTGTGAATCATATACCAGTCGCATACGCTAACACCTAAGCCAGGCATGCCAGGTCCTTAGAGAGTGCTCGGAAGGACACGATGTTGCATCTTCGTCCTATCGCCTTAAGGATAATGATCATCCATCAGGAAATGTGAATGAATGCGCGCTTGGATCGCCGAGTTCAAGTACATGGGCACCCTCATATAGGATCCTTTCTGAAATTTTGCTACACTCATGATCAAATTCGAGACAAAAAAATACCACCTAGCTTCGCGGGGTTAACATTCATGTTATGTGCGGCGCAGCCGGAAACGATGAGTTGAAGGGGATCAAAAGATCGAAGATCGACGGAAGCAGGATGAAGATCTATAGAGATCTAGATGATCGGAGATAGATTCTGATTTGGAGGATCGACAAGCCTGAGGACAAATGGTTATAAAGCATCGTGGTCAAGCCTGGGAGGCGCATCTCAGCAAAATATAAGCACATCTTAGTACGAGTGAGCCAAGGCATGAATGAATATGAAACGATGTTTATATTGAATACATACACGAGAGCTAGAGAAAGCCAATGCAATGACAAGTGTGTCCCCGCAACATGTACTGACTATCTTTACTTAAAGATAGCATGCAGCTGCCGAAAATCGCCCAAGGCTTTCCTGATGTCCGCATACTCGAAGGCCACTTCAATGGTTGCAAACTTGAAGACGAACTTAGAGCGTAGAGTCGTAGACATACAAAACAGAGCTTAACAGGAGAAAAAGAAGTGCGTGTGTGCGCTGGATCCCTTTGCTCGGAGTTGGGGAATGAGCACCCCTGCCCCGAGCACGCCCATGGCATATGGTGTCCAAGATTCAAGCAGATTTGTCAGTATGAGTGGTTCAGCAGAATTGAAGCTCCGCTACGGCAGACTCGGCTTGGTGACAGATTTTTGGCTGTCACACCTCAACAAATCATTTCTTGACCAATTTCAAAGATCCAACTTCGCAATAATGTATTACAAGTGTACAATGATATGTGGTCAAGCAGAATCAGAATATGATTTGAAGTAGAGTTGAGTGAGATATTGTAAAGTGTCCGAACCAGTGTTTGTCCGAAGTTGTGGTAACCGATAGTATGCAACTGGTATTCTACATGCTGGAATAAAAATGTCACGATGAAGAGTTGTATGGAATTTACGAACAAACTTCGAAGAACGGGAAATCATACCAAGACATACGTACTAACCATGAGCAGAGCGATAGCAGGAATGATATAGCGTCGGAAGGCACAATAGAGGGCTGCTTCCTACATTGCGCAACCCAAGTAATCAGTCTTTCAAGTGCAGACGGAAATCATGGTAAGTATTTGCGGCGAAATTTGTCACCGTAGTGTATTTCACGGATGTGCCTGAGAATTGTGTCTCGCCTTATGGTCCTCCGGAGCAGGCAGCCCCTACACCGACATTGCACCTGGCTGTCGTGCTCCTGATGCTCACAGAGATGGTGCGATGATATGTGCTTTAGCACGGTCGTGACCGTATCCGCAGTAAAACCGCACTGGCCTTGGGTGTCATTCCACAGGCATTGGATTTGCGGTTCCGATGCATCAAAATTGTTGGTAGGAAGTTGTTGTCCATGTGATGTATTCCCCCGACGATGATGATGTTGGACATTGTACTGCGATTCCCCATGTACATGCAAGAGCGCAGCAGGGGATTGGTCTGTCGCGTGCCGCATTGTCCTAGGCAATTGTGGTACGATTGCGTACAAATGGTTGGCCGAATCACTGGAACCATTGCACCAAGTCTGCCTAGCCGCACTGCGAAAACGTCCACTCAGTTAAGAACACGTGATCAAACATCACGTCAGGAAATCGTACCTTTGAACATCATGTTGAGCAACAGGTGTCCCAGAACTCGGTGGTGACGAGACACTGCTTGAAAACGAGTCCTTGAAACGCGGGTCACAAGAAGCCGATGCACAGTGAGTAGTCTTCGGCTGGGCACGAGACTGCGAAACACCCGATGCAGTGGCATTGTTGCTGGAATTCGCGGGTACGGGATATATGCAGTTCTGCAGCAGCTACGTGGATGTGGGCATTTCATCGCCTTGCATGCTGCAAACTAACGTACCTCGTGAGTCGTCCCTTGTGGACGTCCAGACGCCTTGACGTGTGCATATAAGTCTGAATCTAGCTTCCTGTCAAAAATATATGTACAGGAGGAGCTTAGGAGGGTGGAGGAAACCCACCAAAAATCGTAGGGCATTCTCCAGTGTTTCGGGAATCAGACAGTTCGCGGGCATCCGATCAGCCAAGAGACTGGGATTATGTAGCCTCATGTGAGACCACACAGAAGCAGGCATGAAGGCGAACGGTCAAAAATGCCCTGGAAATGAATATTGATATGCTGAAGGTAGGCGAAAAGCCATAGATATGAACGCGAATGCCCGGTTAACGTTTGAACACCGGTTGCAGTTGGTTTGCGGTAGCAGGAACCTTTTGCCAGGTCCCCCCGAAGTTAAAGTTCAAGCTACAACTAGGGTTGAGTTCAAAGTGCGCATTACATGATTTTCATTTATTCCCACGACTATGACGATTGCAGTGGGCAAGGAACTCCATCATCTGCCACATCAGGTTACAATGCCGCCGCGGGGTGGGAAGTTTGTAGCTAGGTGCTAACGTTGATCCCATGCGTTTCTGCAACGTTGACGTGTTGACGCTGAACCAATTCTCACTGTATCCTTTAGTGCCGGCGCTCCAGAAGGCTTCCAAGTCAGCGCTCAACTTGGAGATCAAACAGTTCATGTACAATAGTGGCAGTACGTTTTGCCTGTCTCGGGCCTAAGGCACTCACACTCATGCATTCCCTTCCGGCCCGTCTTCATCAAGCTCACTTAATGGCCTGAAACCACCCCAAGCGCGCCAAGATTGATCAGAGCAGGACTTCTTTGCAGCTAATCGCAATTTTGATGTTCATAATCCAGCTTACCAGCACCGCATGGGTGCGACCTCGGCTCGCGGCATTGCTAGAACCAGCTTCTCATCGATTACAGACCGCCCATACTAATGAAGTTTCAGCCTACGGTGAAAACCACTCCGCTGCGAGATTCGGCCTTTTGATCGCCTCCAGGAACATCCACGAGAGCTCGCTCCAAGCCTCGCTCGTAAATGTAAGGGCATGGGTCTCCGAGTCACTCATGTGGTCCAATTCAGATCAAGTAATATGCCGTCGATAGGAAAACTCTGGCTTCGGCGCTATCATTAATCTGACCTCAAGGGTATCCCTACGTTGTATGACGTGTGACTTTTTCCCAGATACCGCGACCTCACCGGAACCTTAGATTGATCCTGCCTTGTCTCCGGCCTATGGCTTCCTTCAATTGGTTTCCTTTACGTTCAGGTTCTCCAACCAGACTCCATATCCCTGTGTACGAGCCCCTAGCGACTGGCAATAATATTTTTAGTCTTCCCTCTTTGCCCTGGACTTAATGGTCGTACGTATCACTGGTTCTAGGGCCGCACATAAATCTTAATAATTGGCTTTCATCTTTGCTTCTGGCGCAATGTTACTCATGCACTTTCAGTTCTTGGGCTGATTAGCCCTATCAATATCCAATTTTATCGTCCCCAACGCATTGCAATATGCCGTACAATTACTGGTGCGTCTGCCCGGCACTACTAGACGTCTTCCTTGTGATTATTCTTTGTGCAAGGAGCGGGATTCTGAGCCACACAGACAAGCCGTAGCATTGCTGGGGGCTACTAGATCGTACTGGCTTAAGCTACTAGAGTTAAAGGCTAGTACAGCCCGTCTCTGAAACGACGAGCTTGGTGCTCCCAGCCAGGTCACATTGCCATTTATATCTGCCGTCCATCCCTTTAGTCCCTAGTCTCTTTGGTTATCTCCATCTCGTCCTCTATGAGGAATTTCCCTCCTCAAGACCAAATCACGAACACCTCCTGATTTTGGTGGCTTGTGAAGTGTGACACTCAAACTCGAATTCAGACCTCCATGTAATGAGACGAGGAAAAAGGTGAGCTTGATTAATGAGCCCACGATCTTCTCTGAACCCACAACTTAACAGGATTGTGGCCACCATGCGGGTGAAGGATTGGCTAGAAACCTCCAGACATTGAGGTATTTTATACAGTGACAGAGGTATGTTGTTCATGTCATACCTACTTGACAAGCTTTTACCAGAACTCATTGCACAATTTCCACAAGAGAATATCGCAAGGTCCTACGTCTTCTACGTCTTTTTCGTTTACTCGATGGTTGTTGCCCTTACGAGTGTCTCCGTATCACTGGTGCATCGTTCTGGCGATAAACTTCGGATATTGTCTTAGCTAGCCCTAGATCCCACTAGCTCTTGGCCTGCGGACAACATTTAGACAGCGACCTTCAGTTTTGCTCTTGGCACGATCCTACTTCTCTTGGATTATTCTCGGTCTCCAGCCACTGCGCCAGGACACTCGGCACTCCCGCGGAGGACCTGCACCAGACCACCCTGGTCCATTGTCTACGTGCGTGTGAACGTTATTGAAGTGCTGTATACACCAGTGGTTTCCCAGCATAAAGGTGCGTATGGTAGAGATTCGGAGACCAGTGGCCGTGCCCCTGCCAGTGTAGTAACTCCTCATGATGACTTACCTGATATAGATCTATTTCAAATTCTGTATCGCCTCCAGCTTAGCTAGGCGATAGTCAAAGGTACGAGATCCTTAAATGGCATTAGTAACCTTGATGGATTGAGCTCCTAGGGAGCCTCTAGCAGTGTCGCTGGATGGCATTTATGCAACGTTTCTTTCACCTGAAGCCCCCCATTATTAGGGCTATGTCCGACATAAAGTCCCCGACCCTGATGGACAATCAATTCTATTTTTTGGCTATCGGATGCAGTATAGTATACTTCTGCCGACACTACATGAACTTTAGCATTTCGCTATGCAGCATAGTACTCAAAGACCAACTGAACTACTTCATCAGTCATGCCTTTGGTTGGACGTTCCGATGCCCTGACGTGATCATATAGCTCGGAATCTATCTTCCTGGAAAGAAATAGTCGCATAGGGATCCAGGGCTTAAGGTAGGAGAAAACAAACAAAAACTGCAAGCGTTCTAAACTCCATCAGGGAATAAGGCGGCTCGTGGGCATCCAATCAGCCCAAAGATAACGTTAAATGTAGCCTGAAAGAACCACTGCGCATAACAAAAGCGGTGACCCGCATCAAACGAAAGTTCAAGTACAAGGACGGTACTTGAGATTGTGGCCGTGCGTGGCATGCCGCGTGGAGACACATCCTTGGTGTGGAGGTGACTTCGAAGTTCGGACACAATTATGCCATGGTTTCAGAAGCCTTCAGACAGCTTCAGACGCCACTGGCAATAAGTCCAAGGAAGATTTGTTGTCGGAGATCCGTTCATGATGCATGAGATAGGCTCGGAAACAATAACTAGTTCACCGTTGCGGTCGGGCGTTGCCGACTGGACCCGAGTCGGTGTTACACCGAGGAAATTGAAAACCAACACTCGAGACACTGCGGGCCCTGGGCATGTAAGTAGTTTTCCTAGCTCAACCCTAGCCATCATCTGAAGTTCTGTGTACCCGAAATTGAATTTATTTGTATGGTAACAATCAGCTACGAGTTGTCGCTCAAAGCATCCATCTGTCCTCATCCAATCAGTTTCCGCCCTCGGGGGCACGTTTCCATCATGCAGGATCAGGCCTGGAGTCAAAAACCCTCTGTGATAGAGAACCGATATTAATCAGAACAGTCTCTGAACTTTTCAAACCTGTAACTGGCCAGAAGGTCAATGTTCAAGGAGTCATGGGAGACAACTCAGGCCTCAACTGTCAAAAGAATTATCGGCATACTGAAAGCACCCACTATACATGTCATTTCATCTCCAAGTCACTGAGGTGATTTGATACACCGACATTCCAGCGACGAAATGAGCTAGTTTCAAAGAGGGTCAACGTGACTTCAAGGGCTCGTTAATTTGCGCGACGTGCGACTTTCTCTCTCAAATCCCGCAACCTCAACGGATTTTGAAGGTGCTTTGAGATATATTTCTGATCAGCTGCCGAGTCTGGCCTTTGGTCTGCATATTTTTGGTTTTGCCATTTGCGGTTTTTACAAAAAAACGCAACGATCGGCAGTCATTTATTTTATTATGTATTTGCCCTATTAACTAGTAGCTGGCCATACGTACTGGCGACCCCGGGCCTGGCATACGAGCTTTCATCATCAATATTCAGGTTCCCGGCATGGCGGCACATCTCTGGGCTTATATATTCTGATTTTTCCTGGGCGGATCAGCCTGACAATCTGCGCCCATGAAACCCTCATTCTAAAATGCCATACAATTACTGGTACACATATGCTTTACACTACTAGGCTTTTCCTTGCGCTTATCCCTTCTGCAGGAACCAGGATTCCGAGTTGTATAAACAAGTCGAGGGATCGCTAGCAGAGTACCTGCAAGGACCCGTCAGCGATGTACGTTTAGTCTGCCCGTGCTTGTAAACGATAGTGAAAGGCTGACTCTTGTTATAGGAAGCATTGTCGACCTCTCAACCTCAGCAAAACCACTGGTACCATGTACCAGAGAAACAGCCTGAACCGCATGCGGCTGACAGTGTGCTTATTTGCGAGTGGAATGCTTGCGGTTATGCCGTGCATGCAAGCGGGATTGCAGAGCATATGTCATCTAAACATCTTGAGGCACCCAAGCACGGTGAAACACTTTTGGCATGTCGATGGAAGGGCTGCCAACTCCAAAGGCCCATACGTAGAGACACGCTCATCCGCCATATCCGTGAGATGCACTTCGGTATGAAGTCTCGTCGCAAGCTCCGGGTGGCTTCTGGTGTTGGATCGCATAAAAACGCACAACCGACGGGGCCTTCAACTGCCATCTAGTATATGTCTCCTGCTCTAGGTTGCATCACTCATAGTGCTTTCTGTGTACCGGGCTGTGATTCATATATATATAAACTGGTATGATTTTTTGTGTGGTCATTGTTTTTTGCCCGCTGAGGCCGTGCATGATCGACATCCACGAAGGTCTACAGTCCAGCAGTTGTAAATGCAATGGAATACACTTCAGACGGGGGTACCCATACATGTGACTAGTATGCTACACACCAGGCGAGAGTACACATTTTATCATGAGAGAGAGAACTCAGAAGGACACGACGATTCTTTCAAATTGTATGGCCCGTGGAGCGGTCATGCATAACGACTGTCGGCGATGTGTGTTTTGTGTGTGGGAGCTCCTGGTTGGTGAGGAATTCAGTGAGAGGGGAGATGAGGGCTGGAGGTACATGGATGTCTGCTGCTGCTGCGCAAATATTTCCGAGGGCTGCACAGTTGAATCAACTTGAATGCAGTCCTACAGAAAACTTCGAGTCGTGTGAGAAACAGCCGCGGCCTCCGAGTCCAGAGAGAGCACTGCTACTATAATTTAAATAAACCTGTCTCTCATTGGGCGCGCTGATTTCACACGAAATGCATAACCGTTTGTACACACTCACGATCGAGGTGTGTTGCTAAGAATCCTTGTCTGACTCAGTACAAATTGTTGAGTGTTTGATAAAGTATTTTTGTGGCGGAAAAATCGCGCTCCACCATAAAATAGATTGAATAAACATACTGATACTGCTAGCTACAGATAGCTACCACTGGCTTCAATTTTCTGGCGGCGGGAACCATGTAGAAACAGCCTGGTGCCTGAACGCGAGAAGGCTGAAGATCGTAGATTACGTTTGTGACTACTGGGGGAATGAGGTATCATTGTGAGTAACCGGGGCTATATTTGGCCGCGCTCACCAATAAAATCAGCCGAGCCGAGGGAATTCATCCCCTAGGTTCGGCGTTTTCTGCAATGATTTTCGTTTCTTGAAGGGCCTCGCGAGCACCCTTTGAACTTAATGTGCATGAGTATTTCAGCCTGGATTTGGCTTATTTTGTGCTTCTGACATTCGTTTAAAATAGGACATTGTTTAAATTTCTTTGACTGAACTTTATTGAAACAGAGAAGATGAACTCTAGAGGGATGTACCTTCTCGACGTCTCTACCAGGGTCTTCGGTCAGTGGGCCGTGGCGCTACATGACTTATTTTTATTTACGATCCACAGCGAATCGGCTGGGACTTGCAATTGATATTCAAGTTTGAGCTGCACCTCCAAGGCATCGTTGCTCCTGACTATGCTAGGTGAATCCGCTGCGCCGGCGGAATGCCTTGTAAATTAACTACCCGCAATTTGCGCAATTACCTTTGGCTTGAAAGTCCGTACGCAGGTTGTGGTCAGATTTGTATCCATGGCAGTGTGTATTGGCAGTAAGAGCATATTCTTATTCAACGAAATCGGAGGCCCCCATAATAAGGAGTCGAACACGGCGGTCATCAAGAGCGTGTCATAATGAGGAATATCCCTGCAACCATTTTCAATCATCTATCGCCATCGATGAGCTCAAAAGCTTTATCAAGAAACCTCTCAATATTTGCATTTCCCTTACGGAAGCCTACGTCACCCCCGTTCTCAGCACTCGCTTCAACTTACAAGACAATTGCCAACACGTCAATAATTCTCAGATCTGGAAACAATTGTATATTGATATCATCCCACGTACGTTCACAGGCCTGTAGATCCGCCCGCTACCTGTAGTGCTTGCTGCGCTTAAACGCCAAATTCAACATATTTCTCCTCGGTTCCATGTTTTCACTGTTCAGATTCGCCATAGCACTGCGTAGATTATTTACATATTTGACTGGAAATGTTTACACTGGCTTTTTTGATCAGACAAAAGTAGTCTGATGCTCGGGGGGGAAGATAATTATTAAGTAAAGGGTAAAAAAGCGGATAAAACATGCGGTCAAGCCAAGAAAATACAGGCAGCTTGCGTACTAGTACTGATGTTGAGATGTTGAGATTGTTGTGACGTACAAGTGAACTTACCAAAAAAAAGGAAGGACATGATGCAAGGTTTTCACGGACTTGCATCAGAGGAACCCACTAGGCTGCAGATACTCAGTACATCCTGAAGCATGAACAACTTGGTGTTCCACATACATGCGCCTTTGAAGTGTGGGAGGTGACCAGAGCCATGACTTCATAGGCAAAGACATCCGACAACTAAATCTGGCCGTCTCGATCAATTCGCGCGAGACCGACAGGGATGAGACATTGGGCGAAGAAAAAGTCTGACAAAGTGGCAGCGACCTGTGGGATGCATGGTCGTTAATCACAAACGATTGTGATGGTGTGTGGTTTGCTGCACATTTTTTGAAGAGCAATTGGGAAAGACAACATCCATCAGCATGCCAGTGTGTCGCCGAGTTTTCTATTCTTGCGCCGCGGCTGATCATGGACATGAAGACATTATTTCCAGGTCATATTCAAGTAAAAATGTAATAGTCTACTTACGATGAGCTGTGACAACTGGAAGCAGGGATACTTGGGTGATCTCCATCATTGTGAATGATGAATACAAGCAATGAATGAGAGAGATCTATTTTGTTTGAACTGGCTCAAAGATACGCATTTAAAATCCAGTACCATCCTTGGACAGGCTGGCCTAGGTCATGAGCTATCCAAGATACTTGCGCCGTGGCAATGGTGTGAGTTAGAGAGAAAGCCAAATTAGGCATGTGCTGTAGAAAGCCATATGCGAAGTTGAGAAAGCACTCTCAATCGCACTGGCTTACGCTACTTTACCAAGGCTAGTACAGCCTGTCTCCGAAACGCTGAGCTCGGCGCTCCCAGCCAGGTCATCACTCATCCAGCGCCATTCATCCTGTCATCCGTCCATCTAGTCCCTCGTCTCATTCTTTATCGTCCGATATCCCAGGAGATTGTTTCAACTGGGTAGACAATGAACTTCTTCAAGACCAAACCACGAACACCTCCTGATATCGTCCGTGGCTTGCGAGATGCGATACCCAAACTCGAATCCGGGCCTCCAGGCAGTGAGACGAGAAGAAAGGTGAGCTTGACGGATGGGCTCGTGATCTTAAATGAACCCACAACTGAATGGGATCGTGGCTACCAGGCGGGTGAAGAAGTATCTAGAAATCTCCAGGCAATAAAGGGCATTCTATACGGTGATGGAGGTGTGTTGATCCTCCGCTGTTCACGTCATACATACTTGACAGCTCCATAGAGCCTTTGCCGGAACTCATTGCGCAACTCGCACAAGAAACGTATTCCACAGACCTACTACTCCTACTCGTACAGAATATTGCAAGGTTCGACTTTGAGGCTCGGAAGGATGTCGTCCAGATATTCAACAATCTCCTCCGGCGTCAAATCGGGGCACGGTTACCAACAGTGGAATATATTTGCGCCAGGCATGAAGATGTAATATTTGCAGCTCTGGAAGGATATAGTAACGAAGAGGTTGCATTGAATACGGGGATGGTTTTAAGGGAGATGTTGCGACACGAACAGTTGGCGAAGATCTTGCTCTATTCTGAACAGTGAGTGCTCTATCATGCATCCCAAACATATCATCAAATGCCGCGCAGGTTCTACATGTTTCCTCATCATATAGAGACGACGTCATTTGGAGTTTCATGTGACGCATTCGCAAATCTCAAAGAGACATTAACACGACACAAACCAATGGTCGCTGAATACCTGGACAAGAACTATGATCGTGTGGGTACCAAATACTAGTAGTTGTGTTCATTGCTTATCGAGCATCCTGTATAGTTTTTCGCCTCTTTCACAACTCTCCTACTTTCAACCAATTATGTTACCAAGCGCCAGTCTCTCAAGCTCCTCGGCGAAATCCTCCTTGATCGTGCCAATTTCAGCGTCATGACCAGATACATCGCTCAGGAATCCAACCTGAAGATGATGATGAACATGCTTCGGGACAAGAGCAAGAATATCCAGTTCGAAGCTTTCCACGTTTTTAAAGTAGGGTTCCATGAACGATTCATTCGTTGCTCATGTTTACTGATTATATCTTATTGCAAGGTATTCGTTGCCAATCCAAAGAAACCACCTCAGATTGAAACGATACTAAGGCGCAACAAAGAGAAATTATTGACTTTCCTGAGGAGCTTTCATAACGACAAGGAAGACGAACAGTTCAGCGTGAGTTTTCGTCGACTGTTTAATATACTTTTACTTCCCACTGATGTTTTCTGACTTTTCAGGACGAGAAGCAATTCCTTATCGTGCAGATACAGAACCTGTGACGCTGGACGTCTTTATAATATCTCTTTTTCCTCTCTGGAGAGCATCTCCTTGTGATGCACGTACCGTGGGTCCCTATCGTTTTAAGTCGGACACTTGTAGCACCCCGTATTTTCCTGCCCCTACAATTCACCCCCTGAGTGATGTTAACCTCTCGTGGATGTTTACGATCTCGCCGCCGACTGCTGCATTATACTGCATAAATCGCTGTTCTTGTGTACATAACTGATTATGCGTCAGTTGTACTTTACCGTCAATGTTATCTAACATGGGTTGCTGTTTGAGGTGCTCAAGACCAATGGATGGATCAGTATGCCAAGTAAGTACTGTGGCAAAGCCGATTCTGGTTCTGACAGGCTCTAACGGTGACCATCACATAGCCCACAAGCACGACAACCTGTAGACATGAGTCGACACGATTTTCTTATACCAACATTCAAGTTAATGGGCTAGAAAAAATGATTCAAGGTATGTTGCTGGTTGGTTGACTTTGAAAACACGTGACTGGCACGTCGCGACTGGGAGGACGAGTCTGAAATGGCCGGTCTGGGTGCAGGTCTGCGCAGACCTGGAGTCTGCGTCTGCGACAAAGTCTGGGTGTACACTTGGCACGGTTTGCGGAGTTTGAAGTCGCCAGCGGTTGAATACCGCCGTATCACTGCCACAACCACCTTCTGCCCGCCGCTTCCCGCCCCTGCCCACACGCTGAGCACGGACCATGGACGTCGGGTCCATCTATCTTTGTAGCCGTGCAGCGGCTAAGGGCGACATTCTACAGCCTCAGCATCACACCATATTTGTCGTGGTTGCCCCTGAAGTCCTACCCCCCTCCATAAACACATCCCACAATCAGCATTCCTTTTGATATCGTGGGCGGCGGGGAGCGGGCAGGCGGGCAACGATGAGGTGGTGGGGGTGATGAGCGCATAGGAGTTTCATAATAACTCCGCTTCGATTTGCCGACGGCACCAAGACTTGCCGAGCGTGCACCCAGACTTTGTCACAGACGCAGACTTAGAGTCTGCGCAGACCTGCACCCAGACCGGCCGTAACTTACACATTCACGCGACTGGTTCGTTCCAGGTTCGTTCATCAAGTTGACAAATATGTACGCCAAATATCCTTGGAGTATCATAGTACTAATCGCTTGTCAAACTTATCCAATATCCTTGGAGTATCATCAATATCATAGTACTACTCGCTCGTCAAACTTATCCCGGAGATATATCTTTCCAGCAAACATTAACATCTAAACTCGACACCGCCAGTATGATTCATGCCACCTTGTCCATCATGACCGCTCAAATTGTTGCCATCACAGGCTGCTTGTCTGCCGTTCTGTTCAAAGCGGACCGTCGCCCGCCATATGAATCACGTCCTATCGAGAGCGGAGATGATGGCAGGCCACCTTCAAGTGGCATCCATGCTCTGCTCATCGACGATCGTTCTCATTCGAGAGATTCTCGACTGCCTGAATAATATCACGGCTGGCGACGCCATTAGCGATATCACTGCTACGAACTACTCAGCTACAGATTACCCAGTATCTCGCCTGCACCATGAACTGTGTCACATGCCTACAAATTCGTTTCTCGATAGTCACGAAGACTCGAAGAGAGAACTCTGCCCAATCTTGCCATTGCACTTGAAGTATTTTACATCGTTTCAGCATTCCACCTCGTCGCCTGAACCAATTTTCGGCAATCCCATTAGATTTTCAACACCTCCTACCCCTTTATATTTACTCAAATTCCACTCGAAACGCTTGTCCATCAGTTCTGACGCTCACGACGACGACTCGATTCAGGTCGGAGTCAAGCACATCCTCTTCGACGATGGCTCGGATATCAAAGACGTCAAGTCGCCTGCTGGCCAACGCACTTTCTACGAGGTACGGTTCATTCTCATGTTTGCCTAATGCTTGATGTTTGTGACCCTGCAGGACGACCATCCTATTGCACTCTGGACCAGGGTGGTCTGGTGCAGGTCCTCCGCAGGAGTGCCGGGGGTCCTGGCGCAGTGGCTGGAGTCCTGGCTCGTAGGTAGTCGCTACTCCATGTTGTAGTCGGTCCTCGATAGATAGAGCCGTCGCCTCCTGCTATAGAGGTTTGGCCTTGGTTTCCCTTGCAGTCCGTACCGGTCCAACTCCTAGCCCACATCAACCCTCGCGATAAACATGAAATCGTCGTCGATGTTCTCAGGCTGTTCCCGGGCACGAACCCTGCTGTCGATGATCGTCATCCCTCTGATTCGCCAAACCTTTGACCAATCAATTCTGGTCAACAACTACCGGAAGATGTTCTGGCCTTCCTTATACTGGACCCGTGGGTTCTAACGTGTTTGCCTGACTTGTAGAATTGTGCCGCCTACTCTGTACATTTTTGCGTAGAATAACAATCTATTTTATTGACAAAGTTCTTAAGTTGGTTGCTTGCGCATTTCTTGTGTTAAATAACATGGTAGTCCACCTATGCAGACACTGGTACGAGCTCGGAGACGAAAAAAAGATACAGTTCGTAGAAGTCAGGGTATCATATAATGATAAGAGTACAAAAAGGGATCAGATTACGACTCATGTTGATGACGATGGCAATAGCGAACCTAATGACATAGAAAAAGGACGAAGCGCACGAGAGCAGTTCTATGAGAGCATCCAAGACAGAAAACCAGCAGCTGGCTTATAAATGAAACAGCATTTACCGATGCATGCAGAGCACGCCAAAGAAAAAAATCCAGGATTTATTCCTCTTCCTCCTCGTCTTCTTCTTGTATTGCATGTTTGAATGCAGGGCCTGACCGGCTTGTGGGTAGTTGACGACGCCCTGCTCTCATCTCTGAAGACTCGAACACGTTCTCCGTCGGGGCAGGTGACGACCTAGCGGGCGAGTTGCCTTGTTTCGCCCTGCTATTGCTGTTCGGAACCAGCGAAGTAGCACGACCCTTCCCCGAGCGTGAGTTATGATTCCGTGCAGGAGGCGACATAGGGATTGGCGACTCGATGGGAAAGCTCGCACTCGTAGAGCTCGACGGCATCTGACCCAACCCACCCGCAAACTCAGGCATATCATCATCCTCATCCACCCAATCGCTTTCATCACCCAAATTGAGACTCTGCCTCCCAGTAAATACATCCCGAATGCTCGCAGGACCCTCTGATCCTGGGGATATTGAAAGCACCTCGACAGGCAGATGCGTAGAACGGGACTGCCAGCCAGGAGGCTCGTGACCCCAAGCTTTTTTCCAGCTCGTTCGTCCGTTGGCTCCGGAGGGACTCATGAAAGGCGTGATCCGCTTCTGGGCCACAAATGTCGCACTGCCTGTTGTCCCACGCCGCGGCGTCTCGTCAAGCGAGCGACGAGATGGGTAGCTCTTGTACGGAGAACTCGTGCGGGTACCTTCTCCTTCCGACGCTTCATAAAACGAGGTCGGCCGGGATGACGCTAGCGAGTGGACGGACGATGTAGCAGAACTAGTTCTATGGTGTACAGGTCGGGGCCCTGCCGACTGATGACGTATGACGCGAGTTGATGAAGAAGACCCGGCTCGCCTGTGGTGATATTTATGCATAGGTGAACTAGTGCGATAGTGCGCCGACCCGTTAGACCCTGTGGATGGCGATTTGCGATGCTTGCCAAGTGTAACACTATGAATGGAGGAGGGGCGCGATGAGTATTCTCCCTTGTCAGAACCCGGTGTATGAGCACCACCATATGATCGCACGCTAGGGATTTGCTCCAATATGTGAGGTGGCTCTAGGGCTAGCAGTTGCCCGGAGTTTCCTGATGATCGATGGGAATTCACACTGCTCGAACGGCGCGACGACGTCGAATGGCGTTTTACACGCCGTCCACGAGTTCCACTGCCTCTTCTCTTGACATTTCCATGACTACCGGGCGACATTGGAGCAGTAGCGGGCATGGCGAGAGAACGGCTGTATGAAAGTCCGCGTCCACTGCCTTGCGCCTGTGCCGCCTCCTTCCGCTTTCCTTTCCTATCTTCCTGGAACCACAATCTAAACGCGGACAACAAACTGGCGCGATTCCTATTAGGTGGCGCAACCTTTCCCTCATCTGAGAAATTCGGAAGGCTCGTCAGCGTATCACCTGGCGAGTTCGCAGGTGTCGGCACGTGCGACTGTGGAGGTGATGTTCGGCCACCAGTGACCACCCACGGCGAACCAGGCAAAGGGGGTAGAACACTTGACTCTGCAGCGGATGGGGTAGTAGGGACAATCAATTGGTCCTTGGGTTTCACAGGTGGCGACTTGGTCAGCTTGGCAGAATTTCCAGAATTTCGAGGCTCGTCCCCGCCTCCACTCCGCTTCTCGTGCTCTCGGGATTTTTCCCGCTCGCGATCCTTTTCCTCCCCTTTTACCGCTTCACTTGATTTCTTCCGCACGAGACCTGCAATTTCGAGGGCATTCGTAGCGCGTTGCATAATGCTCACACTACCAGAGCGTGCCTTGCTATCCCTCCTCCCCTTGTTATCCTTATCCTTGAAGCTTCCGGTAGGCGTCGATGGATTGGACCTGCCAGAGGATTCGGCAGTAGTCGGTGACGGTGACAGAAACGGTGACTTCGCGCGTGGCGGCGTCGTCGGACGTGCGGATGATGGGACGGTAGGCGTCGGAGGCAGCACGGCAAATTCAGGGGCAGGATGTATCAGACCCAGCGATGAAGTACTTGTGGCACCGTCGGTCTGAACACCGATGCCACGCTTGGTCCGCCTCCGAGAACTGGAACGGTCCTCTTTCTCTTCATCTTTCTCTCGCTGCTTGCTATCAGCGCGCTCTGGAAACTCTAAGGGTAATGGTATCTCTCCGGCCAGAACGCGTTTTTCCCGCTTGCGCTTCAGCATCCACCATATAGCACCTGCGGCGTCGCATGCATCGGTGAGAACAGAATGCACAATCTGACCAGTGTCAAATCCGAGTAGACTGAGGCTATTGAGAAGGTCGCGTTCCGCGGGCGTGGAGAAAATGATGGGAGCTGGAGTGCTGAGCAATGATGCAAAATCTTGGGGCGGGAGAGGGGCCAGTGGCTTGTCCAGCGTTGGTGAGCCAGAATCAGAAAGGGTAGAAGACACAGAGCGACGTTTGGTACGTGCAGGTGTGCGTGTTGGATACGGGGGGGCCTTAGGGGTCTGATCGAGGTTTGTAGTCGACCCTGCAGAGGATGGTACAACGTTCTCTGATTCAGGCTCCTCTTCGATGACGGTGTCAGGTTGCCGAGTCATACTATCTTTGCTGAGATGCTGAGAACGCCGAGCAGCGCCCGTAATCGTGGTTTGGCTACCGTTTCCCTGAGTATCGAAAGGGTCCTTAGGAGTGTCATCAGGAGTTGTAGGGACCGATGGAGATAAATGAGATGATGCAGAAACAAAGGATTCAGATGTAGTCGATGTCGCCGGAGAAATAGAAAGTTCGTTCACCTGTGTTTGGGTGTTCACGACAGATTTCACAGGGAGAATAAAGGTATCGCGGGCAGGTGATGGGGATGCAGGAACATTATTGACACCAAGGAGGACTTGGTCACAGGCGGGAGCGGGAGGGGTGGATGTAAACCACGGAGAGGCCAGAATTTGTGGGATCGTCAGACGCTTGGCAGAGTCAACCTCGAGAATGCTGCGGATCAGATCACGGGCGTCTATGTCCACTGTTGGTAAATCACGTCCGAAGAGCGCAAAACTAATAGATACCTGTAGAGAGCCATTCAGGGTCTTCATATTTGCCTTGAATGACCTTGTCTTTCATGACCGCTTCGTCGTCATCATCAAACGGAAGTGTGCCAGTTAGAAGACAGTAGAGAATCACACCCATGGACCAAACGTCAACCTCTAAGATAGCATGGAAATTAAACATTTGCGATAAAAGAAAGCAAGGTAAGCGAGCTCACCTGGGCCGAGGTAACGCTTGCCTTGAAGCATCTCAGGGGCCGCATATCCGGTTGTACCGCAAAAAGTCTCCATATAGACGCCACGATCATACTCGCGAGTAAAGCCAAAGTCGCCAAGTTTGACGCGACAGCGTTCATCAAGTAAGACATTTTCAAGCTTCAGATCTCGGTGGACGATGCCCTTCTCGTGGAGATATGCGACTGCAAGCGCGAGCTGACCGAAAATGACACTGGATTCGCGTTCGGACAAGCGACCTTTCTCAGCAAGATAATCAAACAGCTCGCCACCACAACAGAGTTCTGTGACGATCCAGATGTGAGATTCGGTGGCAATGACTTCATACATCTGAGTGACATGAGGGTGGTGAAGTTGGCGGTGGTGGTGTATTTCGCGGGTGAGGGAAGCGGACATTGCCTTTGGTATTTGCTTTATGGCGACTCTGGTAGAGGTGAGACGGTGAGTGCCCAAGCGAACCTTGCCGTACGCGCCTGGTGTGTGTCAGGAAGAGGAAAACAGGAGTGAGAGCCAGAAGACATACCCTCACCGATGACCTTTCCAAGGGTGTAGTTTCCGACAACCCTGATCTTGCTCGAGGAGAGCTCCTTCCCAAGTTCGTTATAGGCATTAGCAAGTTGTGCTTTGTGGTTCTGGGTCACGGAACCCGTATGTTTGTGGCCGTGTGCAGACATGTACAAGTTGAGATTTAACGTAAAGCAGAAATGAGAGGCGCGGGCACAAAGGCCACAGATCTAGTAGTTCACAGATTGGCAAGAAATTCAGTTAAAGGAGAAGCTTGGCAGAAGCCAGCTGTTTGGTAGGACAAGTTGTTCAATCCAAACTGCTTTCCAAGTGAACCGTTAGACACAGCCAAGAGTTCCCACGCCGTTGTGCAGGCTCACTCAGTTGACTGGGTTCTTCCAACCACTGACCTGAGCCATGAGGTTCTCCTAGACAGTGTCATTGCACTCAAACTCGCAGAGGAGTGTGGTGAAGAATGTGATTGCCGAATTGCATATTCTACCTCATCTCGAACACTTACTAAATAGCTTCCTTCTCATATCACAATCAGGCGAAGAAGAGCAGAATCCGTCCTCGCCTATAATGACTGGAGGCCCGACAGGCAGCTTCCCTGTTCATATGGGTGGTCAGCGCTCAGCCCTCGCATCACTATCGACTCCGGTACTGGAAACTGCAGTCTGGGATTCACACCAGATGCCCAGGACCGTATGCCTGTAAATTTTAATTCCGCAACGTCACTTTTCACATCGCATTTCAAAGACTCAGGCAGGGGTCAACGGCGATTTTATGTTCAAAATCACAAAGCTGTTATGACCCCGAATGCTGTAAAATTTCTGCATGTTAGTCGAAGTGGCTCTTTGACCTTCCTCTATGTTTGCCAGAGTCTTTGATCCCAACAGTTTTCCGCGCCATCCATTACCTCTCTAGCGACACTCACAATCTCGCAGTCGACGGCGTTACTGATTCCGATCGGATATTCATGATCACATGTATGTCATATCGCTTAGTCGACCCATATACTAGTGCAGCATGAGCTCACAATGCACCCGATAGCCTGTTTCTGCGCGCAAAGGGAAAGCTCAATCGCGCGGCACTAGGACATAGCGAAGGGGGTCACAAATATATCTTTCAGGCATCACGACTAAAAGCTAATTTGACAAACATTCTGCGTCAGACGACTTGAATCGACAGCAACTAGGTCTCCTCGCATTCTAAACATCTCACTACTTCGACGCAACGAGCATCCAGTACTGCTTGTTGAAGTCCGCAGCGCCCGCGAGAGGAGCCGGACCATAGGTGACCTGGAGCAACATCAGTCATATGGTCAAAATTGTCACCGATGAAAAACACACCGGGCCTGAGAGTTTATCGAGGAGCAGCCTGTTAATAGTGTCGCCCGCCTTACGGATTCTGCGCATAAAGGGGATGAATGAACTATTACCACTGGAACCGAAGATTATACTCACACATAGCTTCCGTTTCCCTGCAGGTCCAACTGGAGCAGCTGTTCATTTGCGCCGCCTACGACCTGGTTTGCCTATGATTTCGCGCTGTTAGCAATCTCGCATCTGTCAACACCAGATAGACCAATCACTCCATCGATCGTAATATAACTGTTCGCCGCGGCAACATAGAGGTTCGCTGTGGCCTTGACTTTGTCCACCCAAATGATCTGGACCTATGAACATCATTGAGCATAGGAAGCGTGTCGCGATCATGATGCACGCGTACCGTCGAACCTCCGCCAATGTTATTGCCCACGACGTGGCCGGCAGCATTCATCTGGAGAAAGCTGAAGTTATGGTAAAGGTTTTGGACATTCATCTTGTGCTGGTAGTACTTGACAATGAGAGAGGGTTGTTGATGGAAAGTAATGGTAGGATATGTTGTGACCTTTATACCTGTCTGAACGCTCCATTAGGTTCCAGATGCAGAAGTCGGCACCATCCTTCAAGTCTGAGTCTCGGTCTTGAGTCACGACTCACTTGACATCGGACCCATTCTGTGCCCGATTCCACTGGTGCCTTCTTCGTTAAATTTTACCCTTGTTCAAAATTGGGATTTGAACAAGCGAGATTTGACAAGGCCTGGTTCTGTCCACATCACCCCGCCCATGTATTTTGTGTCAGCATCGGACAGGGTCGCAATCACATTTTCATTCGAGTCCGAGGGGAAGCCTCGACAGGGGCAACATCGCGGTTCGAACATTGTTCCGTCGTGGGTTTTTAGTTCTAGACCCATGGAAGCTTGTATGGAAGATGACGGCAAGGAACGACTATCTTATGTATTCCATAGGTCTGTCCGTATCTCCGCCCAGGTCAGTATTACATGTGGATTCAAGTTGAAGTTCCGAGCACTATAGACGGTACAAGAACTACTCCTTTTTTATCAAACGAAATTGGATGGCAAATACACTATGCACACGCGACCTTGTGCGTGGGACTCCGCGTGTATATGCATGTATATGCGTGTGCTAGAGTCACAATGCGAACACCCGGCCTCGGTATCAGCTGCAGCCCCTGCGAGGTACCCGTTGAAGATGGGATTCGGTATTTGGCCTTCCAAGTCGCATTTTGTAATCCCCGTGCGCGTCTCGGTGTCGCTGAGACGCGGGTCGAATCATCATTCGGTGATGGAAGACCTTACTGCACGCCTACGCTACTTAACTCGATTGTACTCAGATCAGAAGTAAGGAGCGGTGGGGAATCAGGTCAGTGACCTGAATGATCAAATCAATGTTGAAAAAACGAAGAGCCATTATAATCCCCGGGCCGCCCAGATGACAAGTCTGGTTAGAATCTAGTGCCTTCAAGGTTCAAAGGCCTTACAAGGCCTCGCGGCACGTCTCAATAATGCCTGTCGATGTCCGTTAAAAGATCGTCGTGCCTCATTTTAGTAATTCAAGCTTACTCATCTACTGACTCGCCTACATAGTGAACTTCTTTCCGACATGTCCGAGTCACCTTCAGGGGGGAGAGTCGGGACTCACGAGTTCTCTTATCAGTGACCTGAATTATTAGGTCAATAACGAATATGCTATCGGCATATGATATGCCCCGAAGCCAAGTGGGTTGCGACGCAAGGAGACCAATAGAGGTTTTCAAGGGAAATTTTCCCTGATGGATCTAAATATTTCCTCAAGTTAGACCAATTGACAACCGAGGCTCTCTGAACAATAGGCAACGAGGGCTCAGAACAGCATGGGCTTGAAGGTTGAAGGGTGAACGTCCTGGGTGGGGTCTGCAAGATCGGGAAAGCTGACCAAAAGACGAGAGCATGCACTGACTGAGAACACTGGCAGGACATTGTCATAGCACATCAACGTCGAGGGTGTTTCAATAGCCTCAGAAGATTCATGCTGAGGGATCCTATGGAAGGGCATCAGTAGAGGTCCCAGAGGCATGCAAGATCACTCGAGTATAGGCTTCAAAGTCCCACCGTCAGTCGCCGCATCTCTCAAAGTAAGATTCCTCACCAGATCTCTTCGGGCTCCGTACCACGCTCTAGATCCTCCTTGATAGCCTGTCAGTGCGTAAGGACTTTCCATAGGTTGAACTAGCCGTACAAGAGAAACACTCCCAAAACACTCCCGAACTCTTGAGTGTTGGATGAATAGCGTACATCAAATTTAAGTAAAGGCTAATACCACCAATGAGACGAGCGCATTGTCTGTATTTTCCAACCCAAGCACTCGATAGAGTGGACGCCAGGGAAAGCCACGGAACGAGCACCGTGCGGAAGATGACTTTGAACTGAGAAAAAGCACGGAGTTGGTGACTAAGTGAGGGCGGCGGGCCGCGCCGCCGGCCAATGCCACTGATGTGGCCTTGTAATTAGTCTATACCTTGGTGCTTAAAACAACAGACTATACACTTGAAATTCGCTAACGCGGGCCAGCAAAATGCAGGAAGGAATACGAGAATTTGCTCGTTTGGTTTAGATTTGGTGCTTGGTGAGTTCTAGATTCGGTTCTCGTTGCGTTGTGAATTCGTCATCCTCATTCTGTTGTGGAATTCAATCCTCGTTTGGTTTGGTTACACCGGCGAGCAAAAGAAAACTGACAAACCAGCACAACCGATGCAGGTGGGAGACTCGTGCACGCGTATAAAGATCTGCAAGAGGTTGCTGGATTGACTGGGCGGTGAGTGCTTTTTATGTTTTCTGGGAACGTTGATTCTCATTCTGGTATCTTAGATCACTCGACAAACCTTTCTACTCCAAAAGACTCTACACCCTTTCAACTCTACATCCTTTGGCTCTGTACTCAGGCCCGTACTTGCACATCCCACTGAGGGCGCACTCACGCGTGCTATAGACGACACAGACGGCCACCCAGGAGTACATCCCACAACGTCCATACCACCACACAGGGTCTTTTTGTCGCAAGTTATATATCTGCAGCCGGTATATGAGTCTAATGCGTCGTTCAAAGCGCTGGAAGAGTTAGACAGCTTGTTATGAGCGGCTCATCTTGGGAATTTGGAGGCTCGGGAGGGTGGGTGGCATATGGTTAACGAGTGGAGGGATCTATTGAGTGGGGGAGAAGCTTTCTTTCTTTGATGTTCTGCGGTTAGAGCGAAATGGAATGGTGCTGATATCCTTGTTAATAGCTAGCGATGGTCCGTCTTTTCTACCATCGTCTACAATTCGCGATTCTAGACGGTGAGTCCCAACCCATTCGTCACTTCTCAATCTCAATATGATCTGAAAAGCGACAGAATGCGCATTGGTCGCAAGATCTGACGTCGAGGGCCAGATGTACGAGCTCGCAAAGGCCTTGGGGATTACTATCTCGTTGTGGTTTTTGTGTGTCGATGTCGATGACGATGACGCACACAGGACCGTCTCTGGCAAAGTATCACGCGCATATATTGATTCTTACTGGCATCTGCTCCGCTTTTCAACCGGGTAATATACTATGAGAGGTAATGGCATGCATTGCTATATTGAGAACCTCGACAATGTCGGCGTGTATGAAGGGCAGATTACGTCGAGGTAACGTAAAACTTGCGCGTGAGTTCGACGATGGGTTGTTCCTCAAGTAAGATACATGGTACGAGGTGCTTATACGCTTGCCCACGTGGGTCGTGCGTTTTCCTTATTGGCTGTGATACTCCACGTGGTGTAAGACTGCCATTGGAGTTTAGCCAACGATGGAGAACACGAGTGTAATTGGAATGGTAGAGATATTCACGAATCAATGATATTCCGATAGGAATAGATTGATTCGAACCCAACTATTCATAAATACTGTGGGTTCAATGTAACTATAGCTAAGAAATGAGAGAACAGTGGAAGGTATTGCGCCCAAATCATTGTGTAGCGATATGACTCGACAGGCTGCTATAGCAAGCGCTCTGATTCCCCTCGTCAAAATGTTTGATTGAGTGCTGAGCTCGCAGATCAGAAAAGTGTGTTCCAGTCAGAAAAAGGGAACTTACATTTTCCTGATGGCCGGCAGCCTGAGAAAGCCTGGTAGCTTGTTGATCAGCGACGCTCAGTAAGTGCCCAAATCTGATGGGCGCTTTTCCAGCTAGAACAAAGAACAATTTGCGTGTTGTCGTATGCATTTCCATAATCAGACAGCTCTACACTGAATTTCGTGCCGTGGGCGAATATTCTGCCGGGTGATAGAAGATAACCGGCCAGAATCAGTCAACGATTATACATATACCACATGAAAGGCATGCACACCTAATGCCTAAGGCGCCTTGAACGTCAGAATCTCTGACATCCCACTTGAAAGGGGACTGATCAGCAACGACCTTCGTGCCATCTTTGGCGCTGTACAGCTCGCCTTCAATCCCAAGATATTTTCCAGTGCGGAAAGACTTAATAAACCAGGTGTTCTGGTCTCCACCGCCCTCGAAGATCCACTGTGAACCGCGCAGCTGGTCAGCATAATCCGCCCGCGACGGGATGTCAAGCGCATTACCGACTGGTTGGGGCCACTGTTGGGAGTCCATCCCGTGACTAGGTTGGCGCAATGTTAGCACTGGTCTGGGATGTCCTTGGAGCACGGATGATGCTTACCGGTGCGGTTATCGGTCTTCGAGAGGTCGATGACAGTGCCCGCCATACAGTTTTTGAGGCCGTAAATGTGCCCGCTCTCAATACAAACACGCTCGGTAACCACCCAGATCTGATGGGTTACCTTCAAGCTGGTCCCAAGCTTAACTTTCGTGCCGACTGTCGCATTTCCATAGTCAGACAGCTCTAAGCTGAGATCCATACCATGGACTGATATCCTGCCAGGTAAAAAAAATCGATGGGAATCAATCCAAGACAGGGTGGGCAATATGAAAGGTATGCACACCTAATGCCTTCGATACCTTGGAGATCAGAACCTTTGACATCCCACTTGAAAGGGGTTGAAATAGCAAAGACCTCGGTGCCATCATGGGGGTCACATTCCACGCCAAGATATGTATTAGAGCTAGAAGACTTGATGCACCAGCCGCTCTCGTCACCGTAATTCTCAAAGATCCACTGTGAACCGCGCAGCTAGTTAGCAAAAACCATCCGCGGCAAGTTAAATAAGTATATTACCTCCTGGTTGGAACCATCGTGGGGAGACCATCCGGTTACTAGGTTGGGGCAATGTTAGCGCTGACTTGGCCTGGAGCAGTTGATGATGCATACTGGAGTAGTTATCATTATTCGAGAGGTCGACAACAGTGTGTCCCTTGCTGTTTATGAGCCTGTAAGTGTGTTGGTTCTGAATATAAGCCATCGTATTGACTGCTTTGAATGCCAATCGTCGCAAGCGTTCAGGTTTTTATCCTACTTCACAGCCGCTGGGGAAGTATTAAACCAACCCTACCGCTGACATAACCGAATATTCAATGTGCCAACACTCGGAGATTAGAAATCTCCAGAATCCAATGTCCTACTTACTAGTCAATTAATCGCGATTTGACACCGGATTTCAGAAAGGGGGTTCGTTTGAAATAAACGCCCCTGGAAGTCCTAGGAAAGTATCTTCCCACTGGCAGGAGTAGGGAGTCCGTGGTTTTACGTCGCGATAATCAGCAAAACTGAGTTATTGGATCTTCAGTATCGTTACGCAATATGAGCGCCAGATTTACCAGATGACGGTCCAGACTCAAGACTCGTTAAGCAATATAAGCCCTGGATTTACTGGACGGTCCAGACCTCGCCGAACACCGAATGGTCAGTGCCTAGGAGGCAATTACGTTTAGATGGGCGCTGATAGAAGTTCGCACGGATACCGAGTTCTCCGGAGCTACATCTTCAATCGAACCTTCAACGAAGAATGAAGCTTTAGGAAGACCCCCATGGAATCCGGATATGCCCTTCGAAGCAAAGTGGGTTGTGATCGGTTGACCCAAGACCTATACTTATACCAAGGGTGATGGTGCTGACATCGGCGTCCGGAACCTATTGAAGCTTCAGACAAGTATAAAGATCGTGGTGTGTCCTACCATTGGTTCATCAACAACCTTCTCTCACTTAATACCACCTACCAGCACACCATGCACACCATGGAAGTCCGGATCGAGAACCTTCACCGTAACTTCAGCTTTATCCAGCTGAACTCTACCAACCAGGTTGTGGCCAATAACATCGGCTCAGGTGATGACGTACGCGTGAATCATTGTACTAGCAACGTGCTTTCTATGCTCATGAGTCACATCAATCCCTATAGGTCCATGTCCAATGGTTGGACCGGCAGGCGGGTCGAGCGAATCTCTGGGTTGCAACGCGGAAGAAGTTTATTACGATCAATTCTGCGAGTGGTCTATCTGGTGTTTGACAGACGTAAGGTTGCTGACAACGTGAAATGATAGGCAAACCAGGTAGTAGGCTCCCCCAATTCCCAGGCGCTCCAGTTGGACGAGCAGGACAACGGAAGCTATGTGTGAGTATGGTCTTTGGTTCCAGTGGTGTTAGGAATTCAGCCGTCCCCTTTGTGCGCAGAATCCACATGGCGGGCGATAACATCAATAGGCTAGTCCTCAACGATCTCGCAGGACCGGTTTGTTTTTCATGGGTGACCGATTTTGACTTGATGACCGACGTCGTTTCAGGTCACGAATGAGAAATCTCCTCTCCCAGGGGCTGACGACTACAACAAGCAGTTCTGGATGCTGATCCCCCCGGCAAGATAAACGGCGTCGGAACGCAAGAAGATCTACTTACTGTTGCTTTAACCTGTGCCACAGAATGTTTGTTAGTTTAGTTTTTGGTTGTGATGTATGCAAGACTTATTCTCGGCTAAATGACGAGACGCCCGGGTAGCACGAGACCACAGAACATCAGAGTCATTATCTGGAGCCGCAGACGGGCTTCGATAGCAGAGGAATTTGCGCCAAGCTGAACCTGCCGCCCTGACGAAGTTTCTGACTACGAAGTGCCTGTCGACGATAATTAGAGCATGTATGGTAGTCATCATTTCCCGGGGAGTCAAACTGTTGGACGACGGGGAAGTCGAGCTGAGAGCACGAGGTTGTCAAAACGGGAAAAGGTGCAGAAAACAGCATGCACAGAGTTTAGGTCCAACAAGAAACATCCTTCGTTATCCATAACACATCGGAAGCATTCCCTCTGCTTCGTGATGTTAGGATTAGAATCACGCCTGGAATATTTGCAAATTCAGCAATAGCTGGTTTTATTTGCCCGAGACGCTAGCATCCTCGAAGGTCTTAGCATTATCGAGGACAACAAGGGCGCTGGGGGGACGGAGAAATGTGGAGATTTGGCGCACATGCTCAGCACCAGCAAGCTCTATGCCGAGGCTCCCGCAAAATGAGTCATGAAAGCTTCGAAAGTAATGGTCCTCCGTGATAAATGGCTCGTTGGGGTGGCCTTGGCAAGAGAGCCCTTTCCTATACCTCCCGGACCGATCAACGCGATGCTCTTCGTTGACGAGATTTGTCAAGTCCGCAACAATATGATCCCAGCAATGAAACATGAAAGGCCGTGATTGAGGAACCGTTGGGCGGTACCTGATTGCATTCAATTGATACAATTTCTCAGGCGAAAAGACAACTTACTGTAGAATAATGACACCATCAGCCTTGTGCTTGAGCTCTTGGAGCTAGTTTCTTCACAATCGTCACATCAATCGCAATGCCAGCGATCGCCTCAGTTTTGAAACATCATTCAGTAGCAGACGTTGTAATGAAGTCGTAAAGGATGTCTGCCAAAAGTTTTCCTCCTTAGATCCTCGAGGCTACTTCACAGTTGTCGCGGTTCAGTAAACTGTATGATGTTGATATCACGATCAGTCACTTCAGCTAAGATGAAACTGGTTTGACTCACATAATAAGCTCAGATACAGGTCGTATTAGGGGAGCGCCTGCAATCGCCCTTTCATGGGCCCTCCTGATAGTGTCGGGCTTGTCAAGAAATCGGACTTATTCTTGATTACCAACTTTTTGCAATTAAAGTTCCGGTGTGTTCTACACAAGTGAATAAATTTGTACATAATAAGTGGAATAAAGGTGGATTTAATTTTCGAAGCAAGCGAGTGCGAAGGAATCGTTGAATTCTCTACCAGCCTGAGTAGAACTACGGGTACGGCCAGCTGCAGTAATAGTGCTCGCCTTTTCGAACTTCCAGTACTTTCTGTCCGAATCGGGAGGCGCCTCAGCAATGATCTGGAGTAACGTCGTGTTGGTCATAAATACAGTCAAAAACGGTCAGCAATGAAAACAAACCTGGCACAAATCTGAGTCGTCTTTGAGAGTCCACACCTTATTGATGTTTTGCCTATGGATCCTGTGGACCAAGGGGACTGATTAATTCTCGATACAACTGGAACCGATGACTATACTCACTCGAATTTATCGCCATCGTCACTGGACAACTGGAGCACCTGCGGTTGGGTGTAGCCTTTGACCTTGTTTGCCTATGATTGAACGCCATTATAATCTCTCATCTGTCAACACCAGGAAGACCGACCTTGCCATCGATCCCAATGTACAAATCTGTCACAGTATCATAGAGAGTCGCAAGATGTCGAACCTTGTCCTTGACTTCGACTTTGATCTATTGGCATTGATGAGCATAGGAAGTACGTTGCTGCAACGACACACACGTACGATGTCACCAACGTCATGGCCGACGAACTCCCAGTCTCCTGACTTGTCTCCTAACATACAGACATACCGTTTGTCATACAAGTCATTTTCGATCCTGTAAGTTCCATCGGTGATCATCGCTGCACTTTGAGGGTAAATATTGGACGAGTTGGCGCGTACGCTGGGAAGCGACAGTCTTTTATTAGCAGTTAAGTTTTTGAGGAAATACCTGCGATAACAACGCTGCTAGTATATTCGTCTGAGTATAGGTCTCTAGTCGCGACCCACTTGGCTTCGGGGCATATCATATGCCGGATTCCAGCTGCAAGGGCATGTTCGTTATTGACCTAATAATTCAGGTCACTGATCAGAGAACTCGTGAGTCCCGACTCTCCCCCCTGAAGGTGACTCGAACATGTCGGAAAGAAGTTCCCTACGTAACCGTGTCAGCAGATGAGTAAGCTTGAATTGCTAAAATGAGGCACGACGATCTTTTAACGACAGGCATTATTGAGACGTGCCGCGAGGCCTTGTAAGGTCTTTGAACCTTGATGGCGCTAGATTCTAACCAGACTTGTCATCTGGCGGCCCGGGGATTATAATGGCTCTTCGTTTTTTCAACATTGATTTGATCATTCAGGTCACTGACCTGATTCCCCACCGCTCCTTACTTCTGATCTGAGTACAATCGAGTTAAGTAGCGTAGGCGTGCAGTAAGGTCTTCCATCACCGAATGATGATTCGACCCGCGTCTCAGCGACACCGAGACGCGCACGGGGACTACAAAATGCGACTTGGAAGGTCAAATACCGAATCCCATCTTCAACGGGTACCTCGTAGGCTGCAGCTGATACCGAGGCCGGGTGTTCGCATTGTGACTCTAGCACACGCATATACATGCATATACACGCGGAGTCCCACGCGCAAGGTCGCGTGTGCATAGTGTATTTGCCATCCAATTTCGTTTGATAAAAAAGGAGTAGTTCTTGTACCGTCTATGGTTCCCGGAACAACTTGAAACCACATGTAATACTGACCTGGGCGGAGATACGGACAGACCTATGGAATACAGAAGATAGTCGTTCCTTGCCGTCATCTTCCATAGGAATTTCCATGGGTCTAGAGCTAAAGACTCACGACGGAACAATGCTGGAACCGCGATGTTGTCCCTGTCGCGACTCCCCTCGGACTTGGATGGAGATATGATTGCGACCCTGTCCAACTCGGTTGCTGACACAAAATACATGGGCGGGGTGATGTGGGGAAAACCAGGCCTTGTCAAATCTCGCTTGTTCACATCACAATTTCGAACAATGGTAAAATTTACCGAAGAAGGCACCAGTGGAATCGGTCATAGAATGTGCCCGATGCCAAGTGAGTCGTGACTCAAGACCGAGACTCAGACTTGAAGGGTGGTGCTGACTTCTGCATCTGGAACTTAATGGAGCGTTCAGACAGGTATAAAGGTCACAACATATCTTACCATTACTTTCCATCAACAACCCCCTCTCATTGTCAAGTACTACCAGCACAAGATGAATGTCCAAAACCTTTACCATAATTTCAGCTTTCTCCAGGTGAATGCTGCCGGCCACGTCGTGGGCAATAACATTGGCGGAGGTTCGAAGGTACGCGTGCATCATGATAGCGACGCGCTTCCTATGCTCATTGATGTTCATAGGTCCAGGTCATTTGGGTGGACGCAGTCAAGGGCACAGCGAACCTCTGGGTTGAGGCGGCGAAGAGTTATATTACGATCGATGGAGTGATTGGTCTATCTGGTGTTGACAGATGCGAGATTGCTAACAGCGCGAAATCATAGGCAAACCAGGTCATAGGCGGCGCAAATGAACAGCTGCTCCAGTTGGACCTGCAGGGAAACGGAAGCTATGTGTGAGTATAATCTTCGGTTCCAGTGGTAATAATTCATTCATCCCCTTTATGCGCAGAATCCGTAAGGCGGGCGACACTATTAACAGGCTGCTCCTCGATAAACTCTCAGGACCGGTTTGTTTTTCATCGGTGACAATTTTTGGCCATATGACTGATGTTGCTCCAGGTCACCTATGGCCCGGCTCCCCTCGCGGGCGCTGCGGACTTCAACAAGCAGTACTGGATGCTCGTTGCGGCGAAGTAGTGAGATGTTTAGAATATTGCGAGGAGACCTAGTTGCTGTCGATTCAAGTCGTCTGACGCAGAATGTTTGTCAAATTAGCTTTTAGTCGTGATGTCTGGAAGATATGTTTGTGACCCCCTTCGCTAGTCTGCAGCTGTCCTAGTACCGTGGGATTAAGTTTTATCACGTTTTCTTTTTGCCCGCTTCGGGGTGTCTCTCGCTGGCTACCTTCGTGCATAATGAGCTCATGCTGCAGGTCGATAATACATACATGCGAACATAGGTATCATTGGAATTAGCAACGCCGCCGACTGCGAGATTGTGGGTGTCGCTAGAGGCCATGTATGGCGTGGAAAGCAGTTGAGATCGAAAACTGTGGAAACGAACTTCGGTCAGGGAGTCTCATTGACTGATAAAAACATAAATTTACCCCGTTAAGGAGGTCGCAACTGTAAGGAAGCCTACAGCTTTCACGCTGGACGCTCACTAGTGAGAGGCATACGACACTTGTATACGACACGAACTTTGCATGAATGACTACCCAAAGCAGCACGACCGGCCCATCTGCCAAATTTCAAACTCCTCTGCCAAATGGCTCCGAGTCCGACCAGTCTGACTACGTCAAAAAATTCTCACCATCTCAAATTGTTGTCTTGCAGAAGACGGAAGGGAAGATGAACTTGACCCGGAACGCTTGGAACCTTCCGGGGTAGCTGGTGGCGTAGGCGGGGCGCCAGAAGAACCGGCCAGATAAAGACCAAGGTGCTCGTGCATGACTGAGAGGTAAAGTAGAATTTCAGCAAAAAACGAGAGGAATAACGAGTGAGGATGCGCGAGCTATGCCGAACTCGGTGTCGATGTCAGGTGAAAGAGACGGACGAGAGAAGGCCAATTGCACTCCCGCTCAGCGCAGGGAGAAAAACACCCTAAAAGAGATGCAGCGCGCCTTAGCACTGGCACAGATTGCGAATAGAAGAATGGGGGATACAACACCATGCGTGTTGCGCTTGGTCTTCACTTGCAGTAGTGATACGTTCTACCCACGAGCAGTCACTGGCACTCTGAGCTCTGGGGAAACACACGTCAAGTATGAGCGCACAATCCTATCATAAAACTCCAGGCCTAATGCGATCGGTATACGACTGCCAGTGACTGACCTTGTCTCCATTGAGTAGATGCGTCCCAGAACTCTTTCGTTGTTCGGTACGCTACCGTACTATTCCCTCTCCTACTATCTGGTATTCACTATTTTGTCCCAAGGTCACTCACAATATCGATATCAGCTGTGCCATCACGCAGTCTCTTTATTAGATGCAAGTAATGGACTCATGCTCACAGGTCATACTTATTACTTACCAGGTCAGGTATCCATGGCACATGCTGCATTCAGTTCATTACTCTGGTCACGTTGGATCTATTTTTCCCCTCTTTCCCCGCCAAACTCTGGATGTCTGATATGAATACCACTCCGACGCTCCGTAAGTTGCGGACCCATCTTCCAAGCTGGCTGTCACAAATCTAGGGCTCTCGATGAAAAGATTGTTTGAAGCGTAATGTTGCGTCCAACTTTGTACGATGGCGCGAGGGTTACAATTGGAACCATTTGCAAATCGCGTCACTGAACGGGGTCATGCGGCCAACGCCCCTTTTCATCTTAAACAACGGGTCATGACAGCCTCGATGGAAGATGTCATCACCTCTGATAGGCTGTCTGCGCTCATCCGCGCTCTAACCCTATGGAGATGGTGGGGACCGTGGGGTAAGAAGGGCGATCAAGAATCATGGTCCGTAGGCGACGCAATGAAAGATTAGGTTAGTGGTGAACGCGCCCTGGGGCTAATGATTTGATCAAGAAGGCCCAGAATCTGGCGGATATTCTCGAAGTCAAGTAAGTCGTCATTCAAGAGCAAGACTCGGATGAAGGGTAATGCTGACTACAGGCCCATCTAGAATATAATGGAGCTTTCAGCCAGGTAGTATAAAGGTTGCAGCGTATCTTTCGTTTATTTCAATCAACAACTATCTCCCACTCAGTACTCAACTACTAGCATATATCACAATGTTGCACTCAGGCGATTACAAGATCCAGAATTTTTTGCATAACACCAGTTTCGTCCACATGAAAGAAGACAACACGGTCGTGGGCTTCGACGAGGCTGATGTTGTACGTGTTGCATCATCGACGTGCAATCCTATGCTCATTAATGTCTGTAGGTCGAGCTCGTTGTCAAGGACGCGGTTCTAGGTCTTGCGACTCTCTTTGATAAATTGAGGGAAAAGTACATTGAGATCGATAGAAAGGTCGGTCTACCTGGTGTTGACCGATGCGAGATTACTAATGGCGTGAAATGATAGACAGGCCACGTCATGGGCAGCGTGGAGCCCCAGATACTCCAGTTCTCCACCGAGGGTGACGGAAAGTATACGTGAGTATTGTCTTTGTTGTTGGTAGCGAGAACTCATTCGTCCCTTTTATTTGCAGGATCCATAAAAAGGACATCAACGAAGTGTGGGTCCTCAATAAAGACAAAGCCCGGTGGACCCCGGTTTGTTATTTTGTGACCTTTTTGTGGCTTTATGACCGACGTCACTCCAGATCGTTACTGCTCCAGCTCCTCCCCCGAGTGTTCATGACTTCGAAAAGAAGTACTGGCTGTTTATCAGGATGTTTGAATAAGCTGTTTCGGAATGCAAGGAGACTGAATGATGTTGCTGTAACTCATCTATCGGAGAATGTTTGTACAATTAGCCATCGGTCGTGATGTATGAAAGAAAATTTCGCGACGCTTTTAGCGGGACGGTGAGGTATACGGGTAACAGGAGACCAGCAAACATTCTAATCCTATCCCGTCCGGAATTTCAGCAGTTCGGGCCCGCCTTACCCATAAATTGGACATGAGTGGTTGCTCACATGCTAGCTGCAGAGCATTTGTCTAGCAGCTTGACGAGTAAAGAATTTATTTCAGCGGCGAATAGCGGGTCTGTCCACCTGACCGTAGTATCTTTCCCCGAGGAAATAGATGACACCATGGTCAAATATGGGCAGAACCTACATGTCACCATGCCGCAAGTCGAACATGTGCATTCGACAGCCAGGCTTCTATGGCAGGGAAAATTGCACCAGCTAGAGCATTTTCCTGGCAGCTTGACGAGGAAAGCCTTGCGTGATTGATATTCCACTGGCAGCGGGTGAACATTATGGTGTGTCTGTCAAGTGTCCACGTTTGGCATGATATTCAGGTATGACGGTGTAATTATAACTTCACTTTTTTGTGTCGATTGCGCTGCGCTGTAGTGGGTTGCCTGTCAAGAGTAACAGGGAAAATGAGCCTCCGCGAAGGTTGGTAACCACCGTACTGGCAGTAAACGACAGGGTACGTCGCAGAGCATTAATCATCTGACATGTTGTGCATGTTGTGTAGCTCAGGTTCTGCCGCAAGGGCAATTGTGGTGTCCTCGGGCTTGGTGTTGACTTAAGAAATGTCAGGTGTACAGTGGTTGGTTGTAGACAACTTGTAGTAACGAAGCTAGTACTAGGTTACTGTCGTAACCTGTGACAGGGTCGATGTTCCTGTCACCTTTTACAATTCCGACGCGATTAATCGGATACCCTACATACAATGGCCCCCAGTCTGCTTTGCAATCACCATCCACACGGCTGACGACGGTCATCAACTTGGACTGAAGTGCTTTACTACTTAACAAAAAGCTAGCGAGCGCCGAGCAGGTCGTCTCCTTCATCATTTACACTTTCACACTTCGACACTTCAATCAATGGCGTCTACGCAGGTTTCCACTTCGAATTCATTATCTTCCTTCCCAGAAGAGCTTCTTGCTCGTATACTTGCGGACTGCGTGACTCCTCCCCAAGTACTCCCCATTCGTCCACCATGGCATACCCAGCCGTTCTTTCCATGTCCCTCACTCTTAGCCCGCCCACCACCCCACACCAGCACACGTGCCCGATTGTCGCCGTTACTTGTTTCGCGACAGTTCCTCCGTATCGGTGCTCCCATATATTATCAGACCCTCCACCTTCCAACGGCAACCCACGCTGCCCGCGTACTCGAGACACTCGTCGCCCAGCCAGTCCTTGCTAGTGCCGTTCGTCGTGTTGTGCTGGGCTGCGTATCGCTGGAGGGCGCCTATGTACTCCGGGCGTGTGAGAGGATCGAAGATGTGGATATCTGTATGGATGTTTATGAAGGCAATCCTCAGGGAGATGCAGCGGAAGATCTGGATGCCCAAGCTCTATGCGATGCACTCGACCGAATAGATTTGAAGCATCTTACTATTCGCAGGACCTCGAATGCATACCTCACACTTACGCGCCCAAAATACCTTTTAAGGCGCATTGCAAAGGCCGTGCCAGCTTGGCCTAACCTTGTGCGATCCCTCATTTGTAGCATTAGTCACTTACTGATATGTGATGTTCCCAGGAGTCCGTTCACTACGCACTTAAAATCAGTTCAACACCAGTCACTAGGCCTTTGGCTGAGGCTCTGCGCCATGCCCCCAAATTACGCAGTCTTAAAGCGCAACTGCCGGCGATTTGGAGCGACTTGTTCCTTACCATCTCCCAAAACCCGACTCTCGAACAAATCGCATTGTATGCAGATGGCGTAGATGGGATCTTGCATACAACTATGTACATGATGGAGGCTAAGAAGCACACGCGCTTGAGCGAACTGATTAAGGCTGGAACGTGAGTGCTCTCACACTTGCGAGTCTCGTCCTGTACCCAGTTAAAACCTTTATCTGCAGGTCCTTCATCCGAACGAGGGCTCATACAACTGCTGCTGCAGTGCCGAGTCCACCGTCAACCAGGCCCTCGACTCCACTGAGCGCCAGCAGAGTGAAGGAGGTGGCTGCTGAGCTTATGACACCTGGGCTGAGCCAGAACGTGCCCCTGCCTGTGGCGGGAAGCTCGTATGCATATTAATCGCTCCCTACCGCATCTTTCGCATCGGGTATCATTTCTCACATGCATCCTCCTCCATCTTACGAAGGCGCGGGTGACTCCCATCACAGCATATGTTCCCCGCGCATCTATGACAATCATGATTTTTGTAACGACCTCGCACCTAGATAACCAAATTTTGCTTTTCTTTCCATGCATTTTGTCGTCATGTTCTGTCCTCTTTTCCTTGACATTCACAACGGCCACGTCAAGGCAACGTGGCTTATTGTCGTGCGGGCGTACTTAGTCTGCTACATCTGCGCTTGCATCCTCGTTCCTGTTCTTGTTGTTTTGTCCGGATATCATGATCATAGGCTATGTCTATGGACAATCATCTACATACACTCGCGTTGTCATTGCGTAACAATAGTAGATGACGACTAATAAGAGAACTTTCTATTCGAAAGGCTTTTCATCCGCGGACTGAAAAGTGCAAAAAAAGCCAGTCGTCATCAATTTTGAGGGGAGTGTACATCCTCTCTGATGATATATTTGTCCACTCCGAGTCCATTCCAACATCCACCTTATTAAAAATGTCGGCTCGCACAGCGGAAAAACATGCAGTATGCAGAGAGCGGTGTCCCTTCCGCAAATACTTGGGTTTCTTTGGAACAGAGACCAGGCGATAGCCAAAGAGGTGGGGATAGCGGAGTAGCACCAACGCTGCTTCCTGGCATAGTTTTGAGACCAATCCGAAGGTGATGAGATCAAAACGGGGGAGATAACGGGCGATCGCTAGCCAAAGCTCAAGAGGAAGCGGTGGATAGATGATGTTGGGTGGCGCATCATGGCTGCCATCAGCTCCCTGTGCGGGCAATGTCTCCTTTTTTTGACGGCTCAAGTGCCGCAAGTGATTGGTGACCTCCAAAACACGCTTGAAGAGTGCGGGTTCAATGCGGTGGCCAAGACGGGCGAGAGCAGTGATGCCCGGCGTAGAAGGCTTTTTTGCGCAGAATGATGGTAAAAATTGGAGGGCGTCCGTATGGCTGAATGTCATCGTGTGTGGATCTTTGACGACTTTGACGACTACACAATGGAAGACGGAAAACGCGATTCCAAAGTAAGAACCAGGATTATCCTTCTGCTCCGAGATCGCATTGATCAGGCGTGACACAGAGGCCTGTAGGCATCTCTCGTCGTCCAAATGTGTTGCGATGCAAACAACAGTGTCTTCGCGAACCCATTTGAACTCCTTTCTTTTCGGCTCGCGGTGGCGAACGCACAGGGTTTCGTCAAACATCTGGGGAACAAATGTAATGCTGGCCATGAAGTATGCGATTGACCATTGATTGTCCGTGAGTTGCTTGTGGTCGTTGACAAGCTCAATCTTGTATATTTCTCTTCCAATCTCCCAGTTACGCATGCACTGCCCGACCATGACCTCTAGCAATCTGACGCGAACGCGCACATTTTGAGACAGGACGTCACTGATGGCGAGCAGGTCGCTCAAAGCCACCTGAGAACCAGTGCACCTCAAAGACTGGTACCTCACGAGTTCAGAATTGTCGACGGTCGGTGGTGCTGGTTTCTTGTACTGGTTTCTTGTACTTGTGCTCGGGGGGGCACTTTAATGCGCAAGCTGTGTGACCGTAATGATCGATGGAAACGGATTTGATAAAAGTCTCATCGTCTGGAAGGCATTCCAAGGAGAAAACCGGAGCCCTGTCTATGTGGAAGATATTGAGATCAAGATCGATCTCGTAAGTCCAGATCAAACTGTCTGACGGCCGCTCCCGGGAGGGGGGCTCAAATTCGTCGCCATTTTCTATCCATAATAGACAATCCCAAGGGCTCTTCGACCCGTCCAGTATCTCTCCAAACTCCTGCTGATAGATCGCAATGCCATTGGGCTGTCTGATTAACCGGAGCACCTGTAAGCCAAGGCCTTTTGGATAGCCATCAGAACCGTGGTGTGATTCGAAATACATGTTCCGATAGCGGATCACGTAGAGTCCGTCCGTTCCCATGCCTGCAGGTACACCAAAGAGACCTGGACGATGCTGTCAAGCGTCAACTCAAGTTGGTGGTCGGTGTACCTGAATAAAATTTGGGCTTGCCATGAACGATTTTCAAGTCAAGTGTAAGTCCGACACGCCGCTGAGTGAAAATTATCACTATAGTATCGAGTCCCCACAAATACAACATCTATATCTACATATTGTAAGGACGGAGTGATTTACAATATGGTGTTAACGCCATGTGCACGCTCCACCTGAGCTCCTTTCATTTTCCACTCTGACTGTGTTTGCGCTCCAATCCAACCGCGCGCTTTCATATTCTCCTGTCTGTGCATGCTCCACACCGACCCCTTTCATGTTTCACTGTGACTCATGCACGTTCAACCGTCGTTCGTGCTTGGCACTCCACTACAGCATTTCGGACGTTGTGGTCACCCAGTAATGAAGAGAGAGACTCTGAGAGAGACAGCAAATGTGGTTTATTCATCGTTGTTACTGTAGACAGCGTATCTTAAGACAGAAGTCACAGAACCGTCCGCAGGAGAGCAGATTGCTTGTAAATTATATACAAATGCAGTGGTAGAGAGCGAATTCGAATCTATCTTTTTCCCCAATGGCCGATACCTCGGATCCCTTGATGTCCCGTCCAAGTCCTGTCTGACATTCTTGCTCCTTTAGAAGACGATGGCTCCCCTGCTTGCTCCTCTCCAGGGCATTCACCCTTTGACTCTATTCTGTCTGTTGCGGGTTCTGAGCTTGACCTGTCCGTGATCGCTGCTGCCACCGAAAACGCTGGCGCTAGTACTTCCAGTGTTTTCCTTACTTGTCCCTCTGACGAACAGAACCCTCACGAGTCTCCTGCTCTTCTGACTCCAGAGAGACCTGCTCGCCTCTGCGCCCAAAAATTATGCAGTCTTAAAGCGCAACTGCTGGCGATTTGGAGCGACTTGTTCCTTACCGTCTCCCAAAACCCGACTCTCAAACAAATCGCATTGTATGCAGATGGCGTGGATGGGATCTTGCATACAACTATGTACATGATGGAGGCTAAGAAGCACACACGCTTGAGTGAACCGTCATGTCCTGTCCTCTTTTCATTGATATTCACAATCGCCACGTCAAGGCAAAGTGGCTTATTATCGCGCGGGCGTACTTGGTCTGCTACTTCTGCGCTTGCATTCCCGTTCCTGTTCTTGTTGTTTTGTCCAGACATCATGTTCATAGGCTATGTCTATGGACAATCATCTACATACACTCGCGTTGTCATTGTGTAACAATCGTAGATGGCGAGAACTTTCTATTCGAAAGGCTTTTCATCCGTGGCGTCATTGATCGATTGAAACGCACACAGTAAGCCAGTGACCACCAACTTTGAAGTCGATCGTCCCTGATGGTATATTTTCCCACTTCACTCCAACATCCATATCATAAAAAATCTCGTCTTCTACAGCGGAAAAACATGCAGCACGCAGAGAGAGGTGTCCCTTCCGCCAATACTGGGGTATCTGTGGAACAGCGACCAGGCGATAGCCAAAGACATGGGGGTAACGGAGTAGCACCAACGCTGCTTCTCGGCATAGTTTTGAGACCAATCCGAAGGTGATGAGATCAAAGCGGGGGAGATAACGGGCGATCTCTAGCCAGAGCTCAAGAGGAAGCGGTGGATAGATGATGTTGGGTGGCACATCATCACTGCCATCAGCTCCCCGAGCGGGCAATGTCTTTGTTTTCAGATAACTCAAGTGTCGCCAATGCTTGCTAACTTCTAGGATACGCTTGAAGAGTGCGGGTTCAATGCGATGGCCAAGACGGGCGAGAGCAGTGATGCCCGGCGTAGAAGGCGTTTCTGCGTAGAATGATGGTAAAAATTGGAGGGCGTCCGTATGGCTGAATGACATCGTGTGTGCGTCTTTGACGACATTGACGACTACACAATGAAAGACGGAAAACGCGATTCCAAAGTAAGAACCAGGATTATTCTTCTGCTCCGAGATCGCGTTGATCAGGCGTGACACAGAGGCCTGTAGGCATCTCTTGTCGTCCAAATGTGTTGCGATGAAAACAACAGTGTCTTCGCGAACCCATGTGAACTCCTTTCTTTTCGGCATGTGGTGGCAAACGAACATCATATCGTCAAACATCTGGGGAACAAATGTAATGCTGGCCATGAAGCATGCAATTGACCATTGATTGTCCGTGAGTTGCTTGCGGTCATTGAGAATCCCGATTTCGTATATTTCTCTTCCCATCTCTGAGTTCCACATGCACTGCCCGACCATGACCTCTAGCAATGAGACCCGAACATGCTCGTTTTGACACAGGATGTCACTGATGGCGAGCAGGTCGCTCAAAGCCACATGAGACCCAGTGCACCTCGAAGACTGGTACGCCACGAGCTCAGAATCGTCGACGGTCGGTGGTGCTGGCTTCTTGTACTTGTGCTCGGGGGGGCACTCTAATGCGCAAGCTGGATTACCGTAATGATCTTTGGAAAAGGATTCGTCATAATTCTCGTCTGGAAGGCATCCGGTAACGGATTGGACAAAAACTTCATCGTCTGGAAGGCATTCCAAGGTAAAATACGGAAACCCACCCACGTGGAAGATATTGCGATCAAGATCGATCTCGTAACTGTAGAGCCACTGGTCTGACGGCCGCTTCCGGGAGGGGCGGGCGAATTTGTCACCGGTTGCTAACCATAATAGACAATCCGAAGGGCTCTTCAACCCGTCCAGCATCTCTCCAAACTCCTGTTGATAGATCGCGATGCCATTGGGCTGTCGTATTAACTGAAGTATCCGTACGCCAAGCCATTCTGGTAAACCAGAATTGCCGTGGTGTGATTCGAAATACATGTTCCGATAGCGGATCACGTAGAGCCCGTTAGTTCCCATCCTGCAGGTACACCAAAGAGACCTGGACGATGCTCTCAAGCGTCAACTTAAGTGGGTGGTCGGTGTACGGAAATAAAATTTGAGCTTACCATGAACGATTTTAAAGTCAAGTTATAGGATTATGTAAGTCCGACACGCCGCTGAGTGAAGATCATAGCGTATCAAGTCCCCTCAAAAACAACATAAATTACAAATGCAGTGGTAAAGAGCGAATCTATCTTACAGATATACAGCTCAAAGCAAATGACCAGAGGGGAATGCTGAACATCATGGCAAAGCGTGTAGCCCCAGGGAAGATTGTGAGGCGATCGCCTTCGTCATCCTTGAAGTCTTGCGCGTAAAGCGTAGTTGCGAAAGCTGTCGAGCCAAGTGCGACTGCCAGCCTCATCGATGTACGAGTTGCGAGGACCTGTACACTTGGTGAGCAAAATGATGGATTATCTGCAACGGGATATATTTACCGGCAGTAACAGTTCCTCTGACCTCCAGACACCCATACCCATTGAAGATGGCTGTGAGAACGTTCTTCGACAATCCTATTTTGTCACCATTTATTAAGTTGTACCGGATTGTCAACGCTTTGAAACCGATGCTGGCCAGTAGAGCCCAAGTGCCGTACCACAGCGATAGCAGCGAGCACACTGAGACCACCAACCAGGGCATATCAGCTACGCTGTCTACAGAAATGCGACCAGCAGGTATCGGGCGGGGAGGCCTTGTTCTTGCGGTCCTCCTCTGGATCCTGGATCTGGTATGCACCGTTGAACTGCAATAAGTGGAACAACCTGTTGGATATTGCGAACATAGTCTGCAACTCGTCGGCGCCGTCGTCGCTCATCGTCATTCTTTAACATGCGTTTCTAACCAACCGTATAGTGTCCCGGACATTCCTGACACGCTCCCTTCGCGAGCACACATTCGCTGACACCTTCTCTCAGTCATGTATCCGAGACCGAGGGTACACCTGTCCATCCTTAGCTTCAATACTCGAACCAACGAACCTATGCATTCGTGAGAATAACTCTCGGAGTAACATCTGAATGGTCACAGCTGAGACAAGGTTTTGAAGGAATCAGCTTATACGGGCAATACATACCACCCGGCATATACGTGAAAATTGGGAGCGCTCGCCGCGTGGTGTTTGACCCGCAGTGCGCTCGCATTGACATCCTATAGCTAATGTTGGTCAACGATTGGTGACATTATATCGTGGTAGTAATGCACTCACTATCCAGAGAAGGTCTCTGCGGAGCTTGAAGTACAATCAGACCACCACAATGTAGCACACCCGAAGACTGCAGATATCGAGGATTGATGCAGCTGTAGTCTTCGGTTGAGCAGATGCTCGAGACGTCTTATGGTCAACGATTTCCATGGTCAGAGATAGTATGAGATGAGATGAGACTTAAATCACCTTTAGGCGCATGTTTACTGCAACCAAATCACAACCTACACATTATCAAAACTCGATGTGAGCGCTCAGTTTGGACAGTGCTGGCTTGAGTGGACATGACTTACGGATGGATAGTCACAGAAAGAACGATGGTGGGTTGACTGTGGCTCCCTACTTCGTGGCGACACTTTCGCGGAACTGTGCAGTATGAAGCGCTACCTGGGCCAAAATCGTCAATATCGACCTGGATCAGCGCAAGTTCGTGCGTGTTCTTTTGCACTACGTGATCGATGAGAATTATGATAAATAACTGATAAGAGAATACGCACCACAGAATGCCCTTGCCTCTGATTCAGAGGAAACGATCCACCGTAGGTTGTCGTCCTAGATTTCCTTTAGCTAGTAGCGCACACAATCAAAGTGGTCGTGACAAAAAATGGTAGAGTCCAAGTGATCAGCCTGGCTACGAGGCGATACATGCAATCGTAACAGACTGGATCATCTCCAGTCCAGTCAAACAATCAATTGACACGATGAGAAACGACTGAAGGAGCAAATGGAGATGGAGGATGCGCTGTCGCTCTCACGCAAATTAATGGTCCGTGCACGCTCAGGCCAGTATAAAAGATGGCTGGATAAGATTAGAATTCCTCATACTTACCTTGATGGCACAGGCCTCTTCACGTCTCAGGTTCGTGGGCCGTGGAGACCTTTCATAGCACGGCGACCTTGTCCTCAGAGGGTGTCTGCGGTTTGTGTGAGCTCCGGCTCATGCACCGTCTCAATATTTTCCAGTCCCACCACGGCCACTCTGGCTGGGTGGGCCGTTATTTTTTGCTATTTCGCTATCCTAACCCTAACCCTAGTGTATATTATCCGAAAAGGAATTTTATTTTATGAAAAACTTGCTGTTTGACGTCAATTAAGATTCTCGAAGGCATGTACGATAGACGAGTCGGCGTCATTTATGCTCTCCGGGTTTCTCACCCTCCACCAGTGATGATCACCCCACATTCACTGATAGGTGAGGCCTGAGGCCTGAGGCCCGCCAGGGGGTGAAACGACATTGAAGAAACCGAATGTAGGAGTCGCATATATAAGAGTTGCTTGTGTATTTGACTCTAGCGCAAGATGCACCCAATGCTAAGTAAATCCTCGTCCGAAACCAGGAGACTCACTGGCAAAGTCAAGACGTCAATGTGATCCCACTGCTGAGTGTCACTAAAGCAGCTATCAGCTCTGCGAGAGACAAGGTTCCTATCGGATGCGACTGCGGACATTCCTAAATACGACCTGCGAAGTTGGTTGCGAAGCACTATCTCAGGTTGATCTGTGGGTCAAACCAGTTTTACCTTGGCTGAAGACTGATATCGACCCATCATACAGTTCATTGAACAGCGACAATAATAGTGGGGTAGCCTTGAAGAGGGAGCAAACCTTTTGCCAGAGGCTCGTTTCCATCATGATTGATCCCAATTAGATTGCTGGATGGGAAAAGGACTTGGTCTCAGCCTCGCAGTATTCGATGTACGTCTTCTGGAACTTCATGTCAACTTTTGCTACTGAATGGTGTTTCAAGACCGAAGCGATCGCTGGCATCGCACTGCATTCAAAGATTGCGAAGACACTAGCGTCAGAGCTTCAAGCACAAGGCTCTCACGCGTAGATTCCGTTTCCCAGCACGTCCAACTTGGACAATTAGCGGAACCTACGGCCTGGTTTGCCTATCATTTCACGCTGTTAGCAATCTTGTATGTGTCAACACCAGATGGTCTACTCACTGCATTGGTCGTAATCAACACGCCAGGCCTGGCACGTCACTAGCACGAATTATGATTGGGCTAGCGTCTGAGTGAGACCCACGGGGATCAAAAAAAGAGACTTAGAAGGTCACATATCGAATGCCATCTTGAACCGGTACTTCGCAGGCTGCAGCTAATACCGAGGCCGAGTGTACGCATTGTGACTCCAGCACACACATCCGCGCGGAGTCCCACGTACCAAGTTGGGTGTGCGTTGTGCATGTACCTTTTGATTTTGGTACGATAATAAAATGAGTAGTTCTCGTACCAAGTCTCTGGATGGAGACAGGATGTGACAACCTGACTGCCTGATCAGTGATCTGAGAGTCCTGGTAGTCTGCCCTGGCCAGGTACGGTCAGACCTAAGGAATACAGCAGAAGATAGTCGTTCCTTGCCGTCATCTCCAGACTTCCCTCGGTCTAGAACTAAGACCCGCGACGGAAGAGTATTCGAGCCGTGATGTTGCCCCTGTCGCAGCTCCCCCTCGGACTCGGATGGAGATACGATTGCGACCCTGGCTGATGTAACACAAAATGCATGGGCGGGGTGATGTGGAGTGGACCAGGCCTTGTCAAATCTCGCTTGTTCACATCACATTTTCGAACAATGGTAAATTTTACCGAAGAAGGCACCAGTGGAATCGGGCTTAGAATGGGTCCGATGTCAAGTGAGTCGTGCCCCAAGACTCAGACTTGAAGGATGGTGCTGACTTCGGCATCTGGAACCTAATGGAGCGTTCAGACAGGTATAAAGGTCACAACATATCCTACCATTACTTTCCATCAACAACCCTCTCTCATTGTCAAGTACTACCAGCACAAGATGAATGTCCAAAACCTTTACCGTAATTTCAGCTTTCTCCAGGTGAATGCTGCCGGCCACGTCGTGGGCAATAACATTGGCGGAGGTTCGAAGGTACGCGTGGATCATGATAGCGACGCGCTTCCTATGCTCATTGATGTTCATAGGTCCAGGTCATGTGGGTGGACGCAGTCAAGGGCACAGCGAACCTCTGGGTTGAGGCGGCGAAGAGTTATATTACGATCGATGGAGTGATTGGTCTATCTGGTGTTGACAGATGCGAGATTGCTAACAGCGCGAAATCATAGGCAAACCAGGTCGTAGGCAGCGTAAATGAACAGCTGCTCCAGTTGGACCTGCAGGGAAACGGAAGCTATGTGTGAGTATAATCTTCGGTTCCAGTGGTAATAATTCATTCATCCCCTTTATGCGCAGAATCCGTAAGGCGGGCGACACTATTAACAGGCTGCTCCTCGATAAACTCTCAGGACCGGTTTGTTTTTCATCGGTGACAATTTTTGGCCATGACTGATGTTGCTCCAGGTCACCTATGGTCCGGCTCCTCTCGCGGGCGCTGCGGACTTCAACAAGCAGTACTGGATGCTCGTTGCGTCGAAGTAGTGAGATGTTTAGAATGCGAGGAGACCTAGTTGCTGTCGATTTAAGTCGTCCGACGCAGAATGTTTATCAAATTAGCTTTTAGTCATGATGTCTGGAAGATACGTTTGTGACCCCCTTTGCTATGTCCTAGTACCGTGCGATCAAGCTTTCTCTTTGCGCCCAGAAACAGGCTATCGGGTGCATTGTGAGCTCATGCTGCACTAGTATATGGGTCGACTAAGCGATATGACATACATTTGATCATGAATATCCGTTCGGAATCAGTAACGCCGTCGAGTCGGCGTCGACTGCGAGATCGTGAGTGTCGTAATGTATGGCGCGGAAAACTGTTGGAATCGAAGACTCTGGCAAACATAGAGGAAGGTCAAAGAGCCACTTCGACCAATACACACACATGAACTGGGAAGCTGCCTGCCAGGCCTAAAGTCATTTTGGGTGGGAACCATCAGTGAACGTGTGACTCCTTGACATTGTGGCTGTGGCAACTATAGAAGGATTTAATCATGCTCCCACCAAACATGACCATGTATACTACGAGAAATTTGATTTGCTCATACATAGCCATAGACTGTTGTTAATGTAAATAAGCATGAGGAGTTGACGACAAAATTGTGAGATGCCGCCATCGCAACTAGCATGGAACGGGAGCGCGCTTGTATTGATGTTGTCGAGTGTTCTCACTTACCACAATTTCTGTTTCAGGGTTGCAATATCATTCGAGGTATTTCGAGGGACAGTAACTTTGGCACGAGTCAACAGATATATATTCGCCTGACATTTCGAGACAAAATTGTGAGATGCCGCCATCGCAGCTAGCAAGGAACGGGAGCGCGCTTGTACTGATATTGTCGAGTGTTTTCACTTACCACAATTTATGTTTCGAGTTACAATATCATTCAAGGTATTTCGAGGGACAGCAACTTTGGCACGAGTCAACAGATATATATTCGCCTGACATTTCGAGACAAAATTGTGAGATGCCGCCATCACAGCTAGCAAGGAACGGGAGCGCGCTTGTATTGATGTTGTCGAGTGTTCTCACTTACCACAAATTCTGTTTCAGGTTGCAATATCATTCAAGGTATTTCAAAGGACAGTAATTGTGGCACAAGTCAACAGATATACATTCGCCTGACATTTTGAGACAGAATTGTGACACCCCGCCATCGCAGCTGGTGAGGGACAGGAGCGCACACGAATCACTATTGCAGATCATTCTCACTTACAATTGTCTGTGTTTCAGATCACAAGATTCTTCAACCCATTCTGTAGAACAGTCGCATTAGAAAGGGTCAACATACTTAGGTTCGGGACAAATTGTAATACGCTGCCATCACAGCTGGCAAGGGACTCGGACAGGAGCGCACATGTACGTTCACCTGGAACATGCCATGGTTGACATATGTGCATCATGATTGTGGTATCTTACACCGAACACCGGTTATGCAAGCTTATATATTGTAAATAACAGATGCTTCTACTACTACTAGTACAGCGTCGCGGCAGTAAACGCCGCGATACTTGCTGTTGTATTCTCTTCAAGTTCCTCTACCATTATCCCAAATCGTATAGTAGTGTATACTACTACTAGTAGTTATCCGTACGCGACGGAATACTGCAAAATGGCTGACTCCGAGTCAGTGGCACAAGCGGTTTCGCAATCGTGACTAGTATCAGTAGGCGCGACTCGGAAGATGCGAAGACGCAGAGGTGTGGAGGGGAGCACGTTCGAGTAGAAGAGACTCACCGTACTATGAGCTTATTTCTCAACTGACAAAACAAAGCACACCGTAACCGCCAGTGCTGGCCACATCCGCTCGCATGAGCCTGAGAGACGGACAGTGCCACTCACAACATGTGTGATTGATCGCATGCGTGATATTGTGAGCGCAGAATCCGAGTCAGTGGGCATGAGTAAACACGATGCGGGCCTTCAACAAATGGGCATACTAGTACTAGTGTACAGCTTTCTCGCAGCTGATGCAAAATCAGTGTTCGTGGCAGTGGTTTCATTTAACGCCAAGGAGCTCAGAGACTTTATGAATGAAGGACCCTGCTTCTTCATCAGCTTGCTGAGCTGGATTAGCGGATAAGTTGAGGAGCAATGTTCTCGCCCTGTCGGAAGCATTTACTGCGACCTGAGATGAAATGTGCCTATGCCTACTATGCCTCGGTCGTGTGGAAGGGCGGGTTATTGTGGAATATAAGAGGTGCTTGCAGGTATTTTGCAACCTGTACATACCTGAGATCGATATCAGCAAAGCAATTTCGAACTCACTTGCGGTATTCTGATGACGTACCTGAGGAGATGTGTTGATATGGTCCCAAGCACTATGATTGAAAAGGGACTGGCAGTAGGTGAGTTACCCTGAGAGCAACTCCGACGCAAGGGCACACCAGCACATGAGCGGCACAGCAGAAAGCCCGGCGCCCAAAAGGAATGACCGCAGGGTTTGAAGTGCGCTATGTTGTTTGAATCACTGTAAATAAACAGGATCAATGACAGTCCATCAGGATGAATCTATAAGAAAATATTCATGCACACCCAGGGTGACGGTTCAGCCAGTGGTACTAGCAGTAGTACCCAGGCGTGCACCGTGACTGACACGAGAACCAGAC